CAGAAAATCAACATTCTCATGCTGAAATGTTATGTTTATGATTAAACATCAGGGATTGTTGAGGGCAGTACACGATCTAGGCGAAGCTACTTGTTGAAAGGCTGATATCAGGGAGTAAATGTCTCTGTGGCTGGATGTTCGGTGACTTCTGGATATTGTCTGCTCTCTAATGGAAGAGCAGGGAAATGCATGTTTTTCTGCAGTTAGTGAATGAATGCGATGACAGCCATTCATATAGGCTTGAAGACAGAGGTCAATTATAAAGATTTGCATCTGAAAAATAGAATAAACTACAATATCAAGTTATCTCTTTATCAGCTCTTGTCTGCACGCTCAATAAATTGATGATAACTCTCAGTTGAAACACATGTTCTTATCTGCCCTGGAATGAAAATAACGTAAAACTACAAACTCATGCGTTCCTCTGACATATTTAACTGCTTTCTTTACAGCTTTTTATTTGCAGATCATTTGCTACTGTAAGGCAAGGGAAGTTTGTTTGTATTGCACATTTCAACAGCAAGGCAATTCAAGTGTTTTACATAAAAGCAGCATAAGGCAACATAAAAAGACATTTAATTACAAGAGAGTTAAATTGAAAATAGGAGAGTAAAAGTTACAGTGCAGTGTAAATTCAATCAAATTTGATTTAATAAAAGTCAGCGGCAAAAAGAAAAATCATCGTTCATTTAAAAGAACTGAGAGTTGCAGCTGACCTGCAGTTTTCATTTGTTTGCTTTTACAGCAGCCCTCAGGGAACATAGCTCTGGTGTTTATGTTCCTCAGCTTTATCATCACCACGCACACTTGGCTCTATGGAGGCCATAAGAGAAAAAGGGGAGTGTGTCACTCGCCAGCCTTTCTAGATTGTCTAGATTCCAGACTTTGTGAGGTCTGAGGTTGTAGCTCATGTATGTGTCAAATCTGAGCCGATAAGGAACAAGAGGGAGGGACAGCCGTACATGAGAAATCTTATCAAACCGGTCGGGCAACACTGACTTTCCTCACAGCTGGAGGGAGGATGTGGATTTGTGGTCTCTCTGGTGGTGTGTTGTTGAATGTTTGTTATTTCTCTTTGTCCCTGGATCTTTATGCGTGTTTTTTCCTCTGTGTTTTTTGACAACAGGAGTCTTTAGTCAATGGGACTGCAAAGGCTCCCTTTCTAGGGTGAGTGACTTACCACAACTAACAAAAACTCAGATTTTTGTGAGTAATTAAAGATTGTTTGATGATGTTATATGAGCTTTATGATTTTTTTCCCATTTGCTTCCTGCAGAGGAGGGAATCCGTTCGCCACAGTTAAGCTGAGACCAACTGTTACGAATGACAGATCAGCGCCAGTCATCTAACACAGAAGAGGAGGATTTTCATCGCTGTCATGCCTTCAGGGGACTCGTGCAACATGGGGCCCCTGTGACACAGTGAATATCACCCCAACCTGACATCTCACCAGCCTGCATGCTAGTCTCTCAGTACCAGTCTGCTCTATTAAAGCGATCCATTGTTTCTCGGCACAAGTGTGTTTTACAGTGCCAGTGTGTGTTTTACATTAGCCACAACAGGGAAACATTTCATAATCAACACGAGGAGAAGCAGGAATTCTAAAAACATTTTGTAGTAAAGTAAGTGTTAAAGTAAAAAGTCACCCCAAATTGTGACTTTGTCTAGTCTCTGAATGTTGTGTCAAATTGACAAATACATTTGCATGCATTTCCTGTGGCTGCTTCACAATAAAAGCCGCCCCATGTTTCAGCAACAATGACAGCAGGAAATGTTTGCTTTGCATTTGTATTACGCTAATACAGCCCTGAAGACAGTGTGTGCACAAAATTGCACTGGATTACTTGCATACATTGTTTCCTCTGAATCCATCGTGCAATGGCGGACTCCGCCACTACCAATAAAAACTACAAAATAAATTACTCTAGTAGTAAAAACGGGGTTTGATTTCATGGAAAGCTAAAGGATTATAACTTTAAACATTCTTCAAACATATTTCTGCCACAATCCAAGTGTTTTGTCGACAAACAAACAAGAGGGGGACAGTGTCATAAGGTCTTTTCAGGCCTTTTTGTGCTGCAGTCACTTCAGTGTTTGAATACAGAATGAAGAGATCCAGATTTAAATGATAGACCAGCACCAGGGCTGTCTTCCTGACTTGCCAAAAATAGATTGTTATTTCTTTTTTTATTAATTATTTTTGTCTGTCTTTTTTTAAAGAGGCATTGTGATATACAACGGTTGTGAGAATGAAGGGAGAGTGACGAGTTGGGAAAAGGGTTTGTCATTTGAGTGACGGCAAAACAGTATGTCACTGTTTAAAATGAGAAGGCTATTTATATACAGTAAGTTTCTATGAGATATTTAAATGAAATATGTATAGAGAAGTCCATTATGTGAAGGTGTCCCTTTGAATATGATAGCCACTGCTCTCATGATCCAATACTGATTTTAATTTGACTGCTGATATGTATTTTAAATGGGCAAAATGACCTTTTGATGAAGGGAATATTTTTCACTCTGATGGTTTCACTGTTTATTGTAGATTCTGTGTCCAATGCACAGTTTATGCATCATAATAATGTACCTTACTAGTAGACATTTGCATTGTGTGAATAAAATGGGAAAGATACTACCTGTTTTGTAAGGAAAATTACTTTTTGCCTTGTACTTGCTTCACAGAATGTACATGTAAATGAGGAAATGTTTCATAGTCCAGGTTATTGATCCTCACAGAACCACTGATGTTAAGCGTAAAAGTGAACCCATCATATTGACCTACTTATTGCCTCATGCTTTCTTCATAGTACCTTGCCACTGTTGACCAATGTTTTTCCTCAATAAAACAAAGTAAAGTAAAAGTCTGCATAATTAATGTTGAGTTGCGTTTTGTGTTTCCTTCCGTACTAAGTTCTATGTCCTTGAATTCGGTTAAAAAACAGTGTTTTGGCAGATTAGCAGAGAAAAATAATAAGGTGGAGCTTTTTACCTCCTGGGAGCAGGGAATTGTCGGCTTAAGATGACAGAAAACATCCTGTTGATATTGCAAATTTGAACCAAAAAAACACAGTTTCTGAGGGGAAAACCCACATACTAACAAAAATGATTTCCTGCTCAACCTACCTTGTATGAAATGAAGTTAAATTATATTTATTGAATTTAACTTAAGAAATAATATTAGTTAATTAATTAATATTGACATGGATAGTTATTGAGAAAAAATGTAGCTTGTAATAATAATAATAATAACTTTGATTTATATAGTGCCTTTCACAAACCCAAGGATGCTTAACAAACAAACAAACAAAAAAAGGGGGGAGCTAAGAGGTGAGAGGTGTGAAGCCAGGGGAGATTAAAGCCCATAGGCCTCAGTGAAGTGGTGTTTTAAAGGTTATTATAGAGGAGGCAGAGCAGATGGCAAGAGGAAGCTTGTTCCAGGGTGATGGTGCACCGACACAGAAGGCTCTGTCACCAAATGTCCGGAGCCTGGAATTAGCGACAGCTAGCAGGTCTGGAGATGTTCTTAAGATGGTAAAAGTACTTGAGGGGATGCAGAGATTGAGCAGCCATCCACATCCAGTGTGATGTCACCAACCTATTTGAGAAGTGACTGTGGGGCAAACACCATGAGTTCTGTTTTGTCTTTGTTGAGTTTGAGAAGGTTACTGTCCATCCAGTTCTTGATCTCTTTCAGGCAGTTGATAAGCGGCACTGGTGGAAGGGGAGTAGATGACTTAGTGCTGATGTCATCAGCGTAGCAGTGGAAGAGGAGTCCATGTTTCCGGATCATCATCCCAAGAGGCAGCAGGTAGATATTGAATAGTAGCGGGCCAAGCACCAATCCATGAGGCACGCCGTGTGAGACTGGTGCCAATTCAGAGCAGATGCATTGTTGCCAGTTGGTGAGATAAGATTGAAACCAGGAATACACAGTACCAGTGAGACCAATGAGTTCGGAGAGGTGAGTGAGAAGAATGGAGTGGGAAACTGTATCGAAGGCTGCAAGCTTGTTACACAATATATTTGACATAATAATTTAATAAATCTAATTTAACGTTTGTCCTTTCATGAACAGACTGTTGAAGATAGGAATCACAGTTTCCTGTTTAAAACAGCACAGTTGTTTTTGGAAATAAATTCTTGAAAAAGTTGAAAACACACACATGGTCTGTTGTTCACCTTCTGAGTTAGAACCTGTAGAGGATATAGAGTACAGTGGCTATGTTTTGTCAAAATACATAAAATAAACACTCAATTTGCGGCACAAAGATGAACTGCTATTATGCTGAATGCATATTTGTGTAGGCCTATTCTTTTACTGGATGTGGACATTAAAAATCACCTACTTGCTACTAGTTTCGGGAGCTCTGTTGTTAGCTTTGTTGCATTCTAAGAATGCATCATATTTTATAAACTGATCATACGTTTTGTTTGTAAAGATCAAAGTAGCTATACAAAAGTTGTCAGATAAATGTGGTGGAGTAAAAAGAACAGTATTTCCCTAATGTAGTGGAGTAGGCTATAAAATCATGTAAATTGAAAAATACTCAGGGAAAGTACAAGTACCTAATAACGGCACATAAATACAGTTGGCCTGCCTGAGTGAATGTAAACTTTCCACTGCTGAACATAAGTCTATTCTTGTTTTATTTTATTTTTTACTATACTTATTCTTAGTAACAGTAAAGTTTAAAATCATAAGGGGAAAATAAAGTAAAAATGAATAAATAAATGATTAAATAACTAAAATAAATTTTTTTAAAAAACAGTGAATGGATCTATTTCAACTCCTGACTGGGGTCAAGTTAAATGATAAAACTGACATCAGTGCATTAAGAAGTACGCAGCTCCTAGATTTAATGAAGTCTCTTCTCATTTGGGGTCATTGAAGTTTTGGAAGTCGTCACGTCTCTGAAACATGAGCCAGCAGCGTCCCCTGCTGGGCGTCAAAGCCACGAACACCCGCTGCCGAGGAAACGGCCAATGGGAATAACTGCAGCACTTCCTGTTTCACGTTGGAGAGAAATCATGATGTAAATGTCAGAGGGTACCCGGACACATAATGATTTAGACAGCAGTTCATTCATTTCCACTTGCTGAATGAACAGATGTGACCAGCCTGCGCCGCCGCTGCTGCACGGTTTATGAGAGGAAGCTCGAGGTTTGAACTGTTAATTTGCTATTTCTAGAGGGCTTAGCCTGTAAACCTGCACCAAAAGCAAGCAGAGTTAAAGCCCGAAGCTGTTTGTAGTGTGCACTGTACGTTTGTTTGTTGCAATACAGCTTACATGTCACTCTCCTGTCATTCACACCTGCAGTAAGTTATACCCATTAAGGCTATTTTTGTAGCTCGTGTCGCTGGCACAGTGCTAACGTTACCATGCAGCTGCAGACCTTGTTGTTGTCATACAGTAACAAACGTCACGCATAAACAAATGTTTGACCGTAGCGTCGTTGTGACGGTTCTTCCGAGGTGTATGTAGGCGTGTAAAATCTAATTTGTTTTTATTATTATCATAGGCAATATGAGCTGAATGTAAGTGGCAGAGGATACGCCTATTTTTTTAGCAGCACCATCCCCTGCCGCTTTGCCGCTGTTACGCTGTTGTTGTTTTAGCCGGCTTTTAGCAACCTTTGCATTGTTTACTGTATTTACGGTCATTTCACATTTGCCATAAACGCTTAAATGTTGTGATGCCCTTGTCCAAGATGTAGAATATGGGTCAGCAAGGTGGAGCAAGCGTGGTGTAAACAGTGAGCATGGATCAGTGCCACCTCAACACATGACCCGACTAATGTGTAGGCCTGTAGTTGTGATCTAAGGGGCGTTTTTAGCATTGATGGAGATGTTTATCCCTGTTGCGCTTTATACCCAAGTTATATGCAAACTCACAGATACAATAAACATATTGTGCTGTGTGTATGTGTATCATTTTAAAGTTGCTGAACAAAAAACCATGTAGCCTTTTTTTCACAGAAGACATTTGGGCATGTCACGGTAGAAGGAGAAGCACGTGTGTACATTATGAAATTAAGGATAACTGAATTTCCCTAAGCTGCTTCGGTTTTAGAGTCCTGGCATTGCTGATGCTGGCTTACTGGGACACTTGAATAAAACAGAGCCATCATTAATGGTACAAGGTACAAAGGAGATGTATTTGTCCATTTGCAACACAGGGTTGTATAATGAGATAATGTAGTTATTTCATGCTACTCACAAAAACAAGTGTTATATACAGTAGATGGCTGGATAAATAACAAGTCATAAAGTCAATAGAACTGTTTTACATGGCGAAATGCTGTGGGTGAATTTAGGAGGCTCACAGCCTGAGGGAAGACAGCAGCATGGCGGGCAGAGCGAACAGGCTTAGGCTAGGTGGGAATTGTCTAGTGATAGATTAATCAGGCTGATATCTGACATTTTGAGATGATCTGCATCGGCTGATGCACACTCTGAAATCTACTGCATAAACCAATGTATTTTTCTATTTCATTAATTAATGAATCTCCCAAGCTTTTAATGTGTTCTTTTCCTCCTTCACCAATGTTACTTTGTTTGTCATTTATATATGTCATTTCCAACCCCGCAGACTCACCTTTGGATTCATTATAACAAACAGTAACATGATAAAATGATTCACATGACATCTTAAATAATTTCATTTGACATACTAATAATGCAGCAATAAATAATAGTGGAAGATGTGGATATCATCTTCAGAGATATACTGGGACAAATGGATACAGATAATATTCATTGTCATTGTAGGGGGGAAAAACCATTTGGAACTGTAAAGCCACACTATCTAAATTCACCCACTGCCTTCCTTCTGTCCCGCAGGTTCCCGGTGCAACCATGCCCGTCTCCTTGCTATGGGCGGTGGATGTGTACGGGCGGGTCTACAGCCTGTCCACGGCGGGGCAACAGTGGGAGCAGTGCCGTGATGCCCAGATGGAGTTCAAGCGAGTGACGGCAGCTCAGCAGTGCTGCTGGGGCATCGCCTGTGACAGCAACATCTATGTGAATGTCCACGCTTCTGACCTGCCGGTCCGCTACCAGGAGGAGACCTACGAGAATCAAGTGGGTCTCTTCAATGCTTCTAGTTATATTGTTTTTAAAGAAGATGGTTATTTGAGTCACGGTTGAAAGTACTGAAAGAAAGGGAGCCATAGTATTTTTATAGTTTAAAAGGCTTTCATATTCTTCAAAATCTTTATTTCCTGCAAGTTAAGTAAAAATGAAACTGTGGAGTTCCCCTTGGACTAGTGTTATGTGTGACTGAGTGACTGAAAGAGTAAGTGCAACATCCTCACACAGCAGTGTCCCACTTCCTCTGTAGCCAGCTCCAGCATGCTGTCTGCTGTGTACCTGAACAAGCAAATTAGACCAGTTTTTAAGAAAAATACCAGACACAGTGAAACTATACTGTATGGGTAACTAAAAATGTTAGATTGAATGATTGCCAACTTTTTTAGACCATCACGTTCTTGTCACACAGCTGCATCAGGTTATGTGCATTAGGTCAGTACCTTGTAGTGGCTGTTCTTGTGACTTCCTCTTCAGGGTTCATCTCAATGAAAGTGCTGTTTGACAGAAAACAGGTTACTTCTACTTTTTTCTGTCATCTTGACCCTGTGTGTGCTCTAAAATGCCATCTCTCTGTCTGCCAGCGGTGGAATCCTGTGGATGGTTTCTCCGAGCGTTTGTTGCCCAGTGACCGCTGGCAGTGGAGTGATATTACGGGTCTGCAACACCAACCTCTGGACAACTACCGGCTGCCCTCCAGCAGCTGGGAGTGGGAGGGCGACTGGTACGCAGATGAAAACTATGAGGGAGAGCCCACAGAGAAGGGGGTGAGTGTCCAGTTATTGTTTAGCTCGCTCTACTTCAGCATCAGTTTTTGTCTTCTTTTTTTTTTTATTCCTTCTTTGTTTTAAATTTTGAGGTGTTTGTATCTGCAGGGATGGACCTATGCCATTGACTTTCCCGCAACCTACACCAAAGACAAGAAGTGGAACTCCTGTGTCCGTCGCAGGCGATGGCTCCGCTACAGGAGGTACAAAGCCATGGACACCTGGGCTAAGGTGGGTGTTTTACTGTGTGTGTGTGTGTGTGTGTGTGTATGTATAAAGCTTTCAGTTTGTTCATCTGCATCTCTCTTCCTGTGTGTGCTGACAGATCCCTCCTCAGCAGACACCTCTGCCAGATCCCTTCAGCGACATCAGCTGTGGAGGCTGGGAGATCAGTGAGGAGCCCAGAGGCCGGCTGTCACTGTGGGCTGTGTCCCTGCAAGGCAAGGTACAGCTCACACATACATGCATACAACACACCCTAGCCTTAGTTATCCATGGCAATGTACTATACAACTCTTTATTAGCTTGTAATTTGCACAAATTAAATCAGTGACGGTGTGGAAAAACAGTAACTTTAACTTTCTGCTCATGCATACTGTGACACATTTTCTGCTATTTGCCACTGTAAAAGAGCAGTAAACATCAATCAATGATGTATATACAGTTATACAGCATAATTAATAGAGGCAAAACAACTATGTAAGCATATCTTGCAATTTGTACTACTAAACCTTTACTATCATGCAGCTCATAAAACCTGCCCTACTTTGTAAAATAGAACTTTTATTAACTGTGTCTAATGCAATTAATTGTTTAATATGTAAGATACTAAGGATATGATTCTGTGTCTATTGTTTTTTGACCTTGTTAGTGCCCATAGCAAGATCACACACTCAGTCTTGTCACATCAGATAAAAATGATGTAAATGTAAAAAAATGTATTTGCATTTCTTCATGCGAGTAGTTTTTGTTTTCCTCACTTACTGTCCTGCTGTCACTCTTGATTGTCGTATCCTCTCCGTCTAGGTGTGGTTCAGAGAGGGAATCTGTCACCACAATCCCGAGGGCTCTTTGTGGGAGGAGGTGCCTGTCCCCGGGGAAGTGGTCCAGATCAGCTGTGGTCCGGCAGATCTGATCTGGGCAGTGCTGTGGGAGGGGCAGCTCATTGTCAGAGAGGGCATCGTCCGAGACTGCCCCAAAGGTACGCCAGCTCACTGGTGGGAGAAGGATGTGGATCATATGTGATCATGTTTATTGTCTGTCTTAGAGACATGAGTATGAATATTTTCTGCATGTCAGGTACTTCCTGGGCAGAGGTGGATTCTCCCAGTCCTGATGTGGGAGCCGCACATGTAGCCGTGGGAATCAACGTTGTTTGGGCTTTGACCAAGGACAACAAAGTAAGAGAATTCTGTAATGAACATTATAAAAAGACACATTGCATGATTTGAAAAACTTTTACTTAGTACTTTTTTGAACATTTCTATTACCATTATCCAATACTTAAATTTATATTTTTCCTACATATTATACATTCCAATATTTTACATACCTTTACATAACTGTGCGTGTATATAGATTCACTCACCTATGCAGTTCCAATGAAGCACCTTGCAATATCAATACAAGACGCTATACAGTATCTGCTAGACTTGCACTAACCATGTACTGAATACAAGGTTCAAGGTTGTTTATTAGTCATAATATAGCACAAGGCTGCATAACAAAATGAAATGTGTAGTTCCTCTGTGCCACACACACACACACACACACACCCCCACCCACCCACCATAAGTAAGTGTAGGCCTATATTAAAATATGGTAAGAAATAAAATAAGACAATGCAGTTATTTATATACATATATAGGCTACATACGCGTAAACACCTCAAACATTCCGCGGTGCAATTTTTGAATTTGCATCCGGGGCGAATGTAAACAGCAACAGCCAGATGTTAACAGAGTCTGTCCTGACTGTATTTTAGCAACGAGCATCATCAGTGTTAAACACACTTTCCCTCATCTTGCCGGAGTCTTACGCTGTCAGCTCGGTACATGGACCACCTGCTGAGTGCTTGCTGCAGGGTGTTGATTTCACCAAGCTGCTTGGCAATTTCCCCGTAGCCCTTTCCAGCCTTGTGGAGGTGGACAATTTTGTCTCTAGTGTCTTTGGACAGCTCTTTGGTCTTGGCCATGTTAGTAGTTGGATTCTTACTGATTGTATGGGGTGGACAGGTGTCTTTATGCAGCTAACGACCTCAAACAGGTGCATCTAATTTAGGATAATAAATGGAGTGGAGGTGGACATTTTGAAGGCAGACTAACAGGTCTTTGAGAGTCAGAATTCTAGTTGATAGACAGGTGTTCAAATACTTATTTGCAGCTGTATCATACAAATAAATAGTTAAAAAATCATACATTGTGATTTCTGGATATTTTTTTTTTTTTAGATTATGTCTCTCACAGTGGACATGCACCTACGATGACAATTTCAGACCCCTCCATGATTTCTGAGTGGGAGAACTTGCAAAATAGCAGGGTGTTCAAATACTTATTTTCCTCACTGTAGATTATGGTCTGAGTTTTTGGTTTTAGTTCGGTTTCTAGTCAAGATTTCAGTTATTTATGTTTTCATTATTCTGTTTTCTTATTTATGTTTTTGATCTTCATGTGTGATATGACTGCTGTAATGCTGCAATTTCCTGTTGGGATTTATAAAGTACTAAACTGTGTATCTGTCTACTCAAAATTGAACTTTTAAAAGAAAAGTTGATTAATACACCAACATTTCAATTTCTCCATCCTACAGGTTATAGATAAAGGAAAATATCCTTAATGCAGTAGTCAAAAATATTCTGTAGCTAATAATGTTTAACTATTGTTGACTGTCAGAATTTATTCATTTCAAGGACACAAATATGCCAAACAGGAAAACTGCATTAGATAAAAAGGAACAGACTACTCTGGGAAACTGGTGTTAACCACAGTGTTCAAGCAGGTGTGTGTTATGCTAAAGAGCGTTTTCTCCCCACTCTCCTGCTTTGCTAGGTGTGGTTCAGACGCGGCGTGAATTCCCACAACCCCTGTGGCTCCGGCTGGATCAACATGGTGGGAGAAATGATCATGATCAATGTAGGACTCAACGACCAGGTGAGTTCCAGGAACACATTAGGTGCCTTCATCTGCTGGTTATTTTGGTATTACCTCTAGTCAACCTGTTGCCGTTGTGTGTAGGTGTTTGCTATCAGCAGTGAGGATCGGGCGGTGTACTTTCGTCAAGGTGTGACCTCTAGTGAACTGAGTGGGAAAACATGGAAGGCCATCAGTGTCCCCCGAGATGGAGACCGATCCCACTCCAGTGCCAGCACAAACAGCCTGCAGAGGTGGAGAGGGCTCATTGGATACACACATATATATATATATATATATATATATATATTTGCTTGGGAAACCATAACGAATTCAGTTCTTCTTTCGTTCCCTTCATTTCACAGTGCTGGATGCTTCTTCTCTGGTGAGGTGCGTGCTCAGTCAGCAGTGAGTGATGTGGAATTAGACACAGAGAAAGGATCAACAGATGAAGCCAGCTGCCTCATCACCTCCACCTCCCCAGAGTCCTTTGTTGATGGCCCCACAGACCACTCTGACCGACCAACTGAGACCCCCAAACCCCGCATCCCCAAAGTCACCAGTGACAGCTTCATCTCTGAACTCGTCTCTGACAGAGAACCAGGAAAGACCTCAAGAGAGAGCGGATCTGCCGTTCCAGCGGTTCTGGAGGAGGAAAACATCTCAGAAGAAGAAGTCAAAGCCCCCTGTGCTGGTGTAAATATTTTCCCCAGCCAGTCTGGAGGTCCTCCTGACCTCCAGTGGAGTAACGTGGATCTGATAGAGGCGAAGGGCCAGCAGACTGGAGCAGTGCTGGACACAGCTGACACCTGCAGCTTGTCGTCAGTGGCCACATACACTCTGGCCATGGAGGACCTGTATGGAGCAGATGAGCACCCATTGTGGGCGTGGGTCAGTGGAGGAGGCTGCTCTGTGGACAGTCACTCCCAGCTCAACTGGTTCACCTGTTCTTCGAACACATGTGAGTTAAACTAAATAGCTATCTGGTATTTCAGCTTAACATTGGGTCACTACTTCAAAGAATGTAGGCCATTCTGGAGGTAAAAGAGAGCTCCAACAACTACAACCCATATATAAAGTGGCATGAAATAATTATTAAATTGCATCTGAGTCCCAGAACAAACAATAGAGTGAATATTCATGTGACATCTTGGCTCCAAAAGCAGGATTAAACCTTTGGTGCAGTTAAGGTGAGAACTCATTTTGTTTCCTTTTATTTTTTCAGTTTTTCATTTTTGCTTTCTGTCCTTCCCAGCTTTGGTTCAGTCAGTCCAGTCCATGAGTCTGTCTGTCACCCCAGCTCAGACAGCAGCCTGGCGGAAACAAATCTTTGAGCAGCTCAGTGAGCGGACCAAAAGAGAGATGGATAATTTCAGGCATTATGAACAAGCCATAGAACAGGTAAATGCAGTATACGGAAACAGCAGAAGCCTTTGTACTTGATCTTCAGGATATACCTTTCTACTTATTTCAGTCTGGGTTTTTATCTGTTTTATCTCCCTCTTGTATTTATCATTAATGAATTCACTCGTCTGCCTGAACATATACCTACAATGCAGTCTGTGTGGGTGAAGAAGGGAACCATGCAGTGGTGGAGAGACTGGAAGCCACACAAGTGGATAGATGTTCAGTTTGCTCTGGAGCAGTTCTCAGGACCAGAGGGCAACAAGGATGGCATCCTTTTCATCTATTACAATTTTTATGAGGAGAAGAAGGTGAGGTGTGTCTGTGTGTGAGAGAGTGTGTGTGTGTGTGTGTGTGTCTGTGTGTGAGAGAGTGTGTGTGTGTGTGTCTGTGTGTGAGAGAGTGTGTGTGTGTCTGTGTTCAGGTTGATACTGTGTGGATTACACGTGTCAATCCAATTTGTGCCTTCTTGAGGGAAGTGGTTGTGATAAACCCGTGTCACAGTCAGATTATCACAATATTCTCTTTCATTCAAATGAATCAGTACTGTTATAATATAATCCTTATTTGTAGAGCACTTTTCAAAAACAAGTTACAAAGTGCTTAGACAATAATACCCAAGAGACAATAATACAAAAAACAATACAAGACAAAAGCATGAAAACATTGAAAAGACTAAAATACAGATAAATATAAAATTAGTAAAATACAATAAAATAAAAGGGATAAAATAAAGTCAAATAAGATCGGGAAAGGCTCTCTTATAAAAGTGTGTTTTAAGAAGGGACTTCACAGAGTTCACTGACTCAGCTGACCTGATTTCCTCGGGCAGGCTGTTCCAGAGCCTCGGGGCCCTGACAGCAAACGCTCTGTCCCCTTTAGTTTTCAGTCGAGACTCTGGAACAGACAACAGACCTCTGCCCGAGGATCTCAAGGTACATGCTGGTGTGTATGGGACTAAAAGGTCAGAAATATAACAAGGCGAGAGGCCATGAAGAGCTTTAAAAGTGATCAATAGAATTTTAAAGTCAATTCTAAAACATACTGGGAGCCAGTGTAATGAAGCTAAAATAGGAGTAATGTGGTCATATTTCTTTGTTCTGGTTAAAAGCCTGGCAGCTGAGTTCTGGACAGTCTGGAGTCGATCAATAGATTTTTGGGTTAAACAGGTGAAAAGGCTGTTGCAATAATCCAGGCGTGATGAGATAAAGGCGTGTAAAATGGTCTTGGTGTCCTTAAAAGTTAACATAGATCGAATTTTAGCTATATTTCTAAGTTGATAAAAACATGATTGAACAAGCTTTGTGGTGTGCTGCTCGAAATTTAAATTACTATCAAACCAAACACCAAGGTTCTTTGCCACAGGCTTAATGTGATTTACTAGGGAACCATCTGCTGAGACCCGATGACCAGGATTTCTGTTTTGTCTGAGTTCAGCTGGAGGAAATTATTTGACATCCATTTTTTAACTTCACAAAGGCAGTTGTTAAGTGAACTCAGTATTCCAGGGTCTGTGGATCTGACGGGCAAGTATATTTGTGTGTCATCAGCATAAATATGAAAAGAAATACCATGTTTATGGATAATATGTCCAAGGGGAAGCAGATACAAGGAAAACAAAATGGGTCCTAAGACCGACCCCAGAGGCACACCATATTTAACTGGACAGAACGAGGAGACATAGTTGTTTACAGACACTTACAGAAAACTTCCTATTTGACAGGTAGGATGAAAACCATTCTAGGGCAGTACCAGAGATCCCCACCCAGTGCCTCAGTCTGTCTAACATGATGTTGTGATCAATGGTGTCAAAAGCAGCGCTAAGGTCCAGGAGTACCAGGACTGAGCACATGCCTTCATCAGCAGACATTAAAAGGTCATTAGTGACTTTAAGCAGGGCAGTCTCAGTGCTGTGGTACTTCCTAAAACCAGACTGAAACTTTTCAAATATTTTGTTATTTTCCAGTGCAGTGAGCAGCTGTTTGGACACAATTCTTTCTAGAATCTTTGCAATAAAAGGCAGTTTTGAAATTGGTCTAAAATTATGTGGGAGGGAGGGATCTAAACCAGGTTTCTTTAAAAGTGGGTTCACGCAAGCCGTTTTAAAATAATCAGGGACACAACCAGTAGATAGGGAGCTGTTGAAAACAGAGATCAAATGGGGCCCAACAGAATCTATTACTTTCAGTAAAAACTTTGTAGGTATTACATCAAGTGGGCTGGAGGACACTCTCATTTGTGTTACTGTTTTCAAAAGCTCAGACAAGTCGATGGGATAAAACTGGTTAAAACTCTCTTGTTGCTGGTGAGGAACCTCTGAGTAAGAGGCCGCGGGGGTAATAGAGGCTCTGATTGACACCACCTTATTGGTAAAATAAGATAAAAACAATTCACAGTCATCATTACTTCCAGCTGAGGCACAAGGAGGGGTTGGGTTTACCAGCTGATCCACAGTCTTAAACAGAAACCTGGGATTGTGTTTATGTGTAGTAATGAGTTCAGAAAAATAGTGTGTTCTCGCATCCTTAACCATGTTATTGTAGTTAATTAATAAATTCTTCAGACTGAGGTAATGGAGACTGGATTTTTTCCATCTGCGCTCTGCTTTCCTGCATTCCCTTTTTAGGCTGCGAATGCTGTCATTTATCCAGGGTTGCTTACTAGCTTTAGACGTAGGCCTAACCTTTAGAGGAGCAGTAATATTTAGTGACAACAAGCAGATATGATTGAAGTGATCGACCAGATTGTTGGTGTTGGAATTAGACAGGTGTTGGCTTTGGCTCTGAAAGAATGCGCAAAACTTTGAAACACTTTGTTCATTAAAGAAGCGAGAACACATGGAGCTTGGTGAGGCGGCATGAGTAACAGGCGAATCGCAGCTAAAAACAATACATCTGTGGTCAGATATGGTCATGTCCACAAAGTCCACAGAGGAAATGCTGACACCCAGGGTAAAAACCAAGTCCAGTGTATGACCGCGGTTATGTGTTTGCCCTTTGACATGTTGTTTGAAGTTAAAAGAAGTGGCCATATTTAAAAAGTCAGTTGCATTAACATTGTTGGGGTCATCAACATGAATATTAAAATCGCCACAAAGAACAATTCTGTCATAATTTAAAACCAGAGTAGATAAAAATTCAGGAAGTTCTGATAAAAATCCTCCAGGCGGTTTTGGGGGGCGATAAATTATGTGAGAACTTCAAAGGAGTTAAATTCATCACAGCGTACTTGATGACATTTTAAATTTTTCCTATACACGCTCACTAGCCCACCACCACGACCACTGACCCTCGGTTGACTAAAACAATCATATTGAGGCGGACACAGTTCAGCTAGTTGTTCTTCCTCTATGGCACTCACTACTACTTCTTCTTTCTTCCACTATTTACCTTCTCCTATCTTTTTTATCTACTACGACTCTTCTGTCACTTTCTCCAGTACCTGCATGCCTTCGTCAACGAGATCACCATCCTGGTTCCAGTGCTAAATGACTCCAAACATACTTTTGCCATTTACACTCCCGAGCGGACTAAACAGAGGTGGCCAATCAGATTGGCAGCAGCCACAGAGCAAGATATGCATGATTGGGTATGTACCAACCAACTGGGACTATCTGAAGACATCTCTAATGTACTGAAATAACCCTAGATTTATAAATGCATACCAATCTTCTAGATGTTCTAGAAGTCTTCATTATATGCACACACATTTCTACCACATTTCTTTCTGTCTGATTACTTCTCATTGGTCTCTCCCTCGCTTTCAAATCCAATCTGTCTGCCTTTACCACCCCTGTCTCAAGCTGGCATTGTTGAGTTTGTCATGCTGCGACTCCAGGGAGATCCAGGGTCCTCCATCCAAACAGGCCATCTGGTCCATCACCTGTAAAGGGGACATCTTTGTCAGTGAGCCCTCTCCTGGTCTGGAGGCCATGCCTTACCCCACACCATGTGACCAGATGTAAGAATAACCATCACTCACTTTAAAGTTCTGGTAGATGAGGATGTAAATAATTGTTTTTCTTTTATAATATGTGGCATGCTGTCTTTTTCCCTTAGACTTTATGAAGCTTCTTTTTTTCCTTTTGCACAGGTTCTGGCGGCAGGTTGGAGGTCACCTACGCGTGGTGGAGTGTAACAGTGTTGGCATAGTGTGGGGGATCGGCTACGACCACACTGCCTGGGTCTATACAGGCGGCTATGGAGGAGGCTTCTCCCAGGGAATGGCCAGCAGCACAGATAACATTTACACACAAGTGGATATCAAGAGTGTTTACATATATGAGAACCAGAGGTGGAACCCTGTCACCGGCTACACCAACAGGTAGAGTTCTCACTCCAGGCAACGCTGAGGGCAGTTTGTACTTTCACCGCTGGCATCTATAAATACATCTGTCTAGTTTATGTCAGTAAAATCTGTTGTTGAACTATTTGATTTCTTTGGTAGAAAAGTGCATCGTCTCACACACAAACAGAAATGTCCAGGCTGTGTGATATGTCGAGTGTCTACATAGACCCCAGGGAGTCTTGAAATTGGATTTTCACATTTAAGAACTGCTGTGAAATTGCAGTGACTACACATTTCTGTTTTTACTGTTTATACTTAACATCTCATGAAACTAATATGTGACAAATACTGTAAAATGCCACTCTCTAAGTCTACCTGTCACTGCTAATTGATGAGACTCCCAAGTTTTTCAAATTAAATTTTTTTGCTCCATACATCTAAACCTTTACCTTAAGATTGGCAAAGAAACACAAGCATTACTCCTACAGCTGAAGTACGTGTTGTTGTTGTTGTTGAAAGTTTGATTTTGAAGTGTAAAGTCATGACTCAATGAAAGTGTTTTGTTGATTTTAGAGGGCTACCTACAGACCGCTACATGTGGAGCGATGCTTCAGGACTGCATGAGTGCACAAAAACAAATATGAAACCTCCCTCCCCTCAGTGGACGTGGGTAAGTAAAGCTACACACACACACACACACACACACACACACACACACACACACACACACACACACACACACACACACACACACACACACACACACACACACACACACAGGGAAATTGCCTGGGGTGATTTGAAACCAGTACTGGGGTGCACCATCACCATCCTTCCATTCTGACTACTGGTTTGGAAACTATAAATATTTGGTCTTGAATTATCACGGGCAAGGTGTGTACCCAAAAACACAGATGTGTTGACATGGTTTCAATTCCCATATTGGCTGTTTTCAGGTGTCTGATTGGGCTGTCGACTACAGTGTCTCTGGGGGGACCGATAGAGAAGGCTGGCAATATGCAGCTGATTTTCCAGCGTAAGTTTCATTTACCATTCCTCAAACTCACCTACTGTCTCAGTTGGTTCAGACTATGCTGCCCTCATAGTTATGACCTTCATTTATTTATTTTTTCCTATTATTCTTCCTTCCTCTTCCCCATCTCTCCATGCAGGTCATATCATGGCTATAAAACGATGAAGGACTTTGTGCGTCGCAGACGATGGGCCAGGTACTATAAAAACCAACACTGGCATATTGCTGTCTCCAATATATTTGTTCAGCAGGTACACAGTGCTCTGACAGTGCACTTGACATTTGCAGTTTTTGTTTGTGTAAGGTTTTTTTGAGTCAGCACAGACAGAGCAGACACAAAATCTGATCTTTAGTCCATGTGGGGGGAAAAAAAGTTTTCAGACCTTGCAGACTGTGGGATAATATATGGCTAACATATAGGTTTTATTCAGGTACAGATAACAGTAGTCCTGGGACATATGTATTTTGTCATATTGGTTTGTCAGTGGAGGTGGGTTTTCTGGCAGATTAGCTAATTAATTTTAGTTTGAGTTATTCAGATTAGAATGATGATGATTTGGCATGAGTCCTTCAGCCCAAACCTGCTAAAGTGCAGCTTATTGAAAGCTAGATCTTGACCAAGATGTTTTATGAACCCCACACATGAACAAACTTTTCTATAGAAATGGCTCGCCTTTTAAATTTATATGGAAAGAGTGTTGATATAATTCTGACTTTAAATGAGAACATGCAGGTTATTGAGAAATCACTATGATCTGTTGGTAATATAATAATATTATAATATAATAATAATATACAACAAAATAAAGGTTTGTAAATGATCAACAGCAGAACTCACTATTTTCAAAATATGCTTGTTATTATCAGTCTCATGCACGTCCATTGGGAACTCCCGGCAATCATGCACCGAACATCACTCATAGTCTGACCACATTGACTGGGAATATTTAATCTTTAAACGTGATGAAAGTGTGGAGCACAATGTAGAACACAATAACACCAGTAAGTATGAAGGAACACACATTCAATGAGACTTAAGTCCATGAATCGTGCCCCAGTGCATTCTCAAAACACCTACTTGTACTACTACTACTACTATGTAACTGCACTCACATTGGTCAGCACTCAGCCAGTCATATGAATGCTGCTGATGGTTTCAAGTCTTTGGTTGAATAAACAGTATTATGTTAGACTGATATAAGCGGGTTAGCCTGAATTAGTTGGTTCTTTTGACGCACCTCCCACTCCATCAGAATCTTTAGCTGCAGGTATTGCAGTGCTTCAGTGAGCATTGTGGTTTTCCTCCTTCACAGGAAGTGTAAATTGACCACCACAGGACCATGGCAAGAAATTCCGCCTATAGCACTGAGTGATGTGACCATCCTGCCGTGTGCAGCTCAGAGCAGCATGGACGTGGTTCCTCTGTGGGCAATCAGCAACAAGGGAGACGTGCTCTGCAGACTGGGAGTCACCTCACTGACGCCTGCTGTGAGTCAAGTTTACTGTATGCATGCAGGTTAAAAACAATTTAGTGAGTCACCCACAAACATTCACAGCCATTTGCCTGTTTGCATTGCAACAGTTCAGGACGGCGTGTAGACTTCTTTCCTCATCTTTAGCCCTCATGGAGGCTTTTCTGAAAGTTATCATTCATGACTTTGATACAAAAATGCAGGAGAACATCATGCTTAATTCCTTTTGATAAATAGTTAAACATGGACAATGCTACTTCTGATACTTACAGTGTAGTCACAAAAAAGAAAAATCTTGCCACTTGCTGTAACATCATCTTGTTGGTCTCTCAGGGATCCTCATGGCTCCACGTGGGAACTGACCAGCCTTTCAAGTCCATATCCATCGGGGCTACCAGCCAGGTTTGGGCCATCGCCAGGGACGGTTCAGCCTTTTACAGGGGATCTGTCTCTTCACAGAGCCCAGCAGGTTAGTGGGAGAAACTGTGATATTTTGCGTGGTTGAACAGAGGATATCATTTGTGCCACAGTCACATTTGAATCAAAAACATTAACATTTACTTAAAAATTTGTAGGGATCGGGAAACAAAACTTGGCAGCCTCTGGTGCTGTAAATGATTTTCACTTAGAGAGTGCTATGTGTTTGTTTCTCCCTCTGCAGGAGACTGTTGGTACCACATCCCCTCCCCATCCAAACAGAAGCTGAAGCAGGTGTCTGTTGGGAGGACATCAGTCTACACAGTAGATGAAAATAGTAAAACGATTGCATTTGTATTCACAGCGTACATTTATGCAAACATTGATTTTAATAACCAGATACCTGATGTATCTGTTATCTCTGTTTCGTGGTAGACAAATTCTGATCATGTATCTGATGTGGCTACTTCCTGTCCAGGTAACCTGTGGTACCGGCAGGGTGTAACCCCTAGCTACCCTCAGGGCTCGTCCTGGGAACACATTTCTAATAATGTACGCAAGGTCTCCGTAGGACCCCTGGACCAGGTCAGTACCAAGATATCAGGACTGCATAATGGAACTTACTTTTATTATTTGTAGCTTCTATGAAAGTATACAACATTAATGAATGATCCAAATATATTTCTTGAAATTTATATATTTCGAGATGAATGTGTTGTCATATGAATCCTCCAAAATCCTCATAAGAAATAACATCTTGAGATTATAAACAATCCTTGCATGTGTTCGGTGGTTGATTTTTGATTTGTTCTTGTGTAGGTGTGGATCATAGCAGACAAGGTGCAGGGCAGCCACAGTCTGAGCTGTGGAACAGTATGCCATCGAATCGGAGTCCAACCTATGGAGCCTAAAGGACAGTTGTATGACTACGGCATTGGGGTAAGGCACTAAAGAAACTAAACTGTATGAAAATGTTAGCACAGTATCTGCAAGTCTTGGAAAAACCTTTAAAAAGCATTGAATTCAGTGTCTTCAAAAAAAGGTCTTAAATGGTCTTACAGTTAAGTTGCTTGCAAAAGGCTCTCAGGAGCAATTACACTAAAAGTGGGATAGTTTTGACGGTGGATTGTGCTGTCAGGAAGCTGTCCTGTTTTTGTGCTTGAAGCTGGATAGTAAATAGGTTTACTTGTAACAAACATAAGTGCCTGTCTTTTAGGGTGGATGGGACCACATCACAGTGAGAGGGAACTCCATGGAGCCACCCCGCGTCCGTCTTCCCTCTCTAACAGACCCGTCCGCCCCTGCCCCCCGAAGCCCCCTGCCCATCAGGAACACGGAGGTCAACAGCAATGCTGTGGGACACACTTAAACACGTACACCTTTGTAGTAAATTTCTGTTTAAAAACATTTTTCACACTGTAGTAGCAGAAATGACAATTCAACTCCAGACTCTAGAGGGCGGCCTTTAGTCCACATCACTGCCCTCACTGTGACAAAAAGTTGTGATTTATGGACATTCAGAACAATCTTCAGTGTCTCCTGAATTTTGTTAATTTTACTAAGCATTCATCTCCTCAGTACGGGCATTTCTGTCTCATTCTTTTGTTATTGTTGTTTGTCTTTGTCACTGACACTGGACTTGATGGTCCTAATGCATTTAGTTTTATTTATTTATTAGGATGTGTTGTTTCTGTTGGTACCACATGTAAGATGAAGGTAAAAGGGTGATTATTTATTTTTTTTTAAAGATAAGGGAAAAATATGAGTGTACTTAAATTACAGCTGCAGATCTTTTATTTTGTTCAAAATAAAAATGACATTTCATCTTTGTCTGCAGGTAACAGGTTCAACACATGTTCCAGCAGAGGGAAGCCATATTACTCTGGGAAAGCTCTTGCTAATGTGACACACCGCTGTAAAATGTTATTTCATAGACTGCAGAACAACATAGATGCAGCATCCCCCGTTGGTTTCTAATTTCTTAGGTTTCTGAAAGGTCATCGTGAAGCTTTCATTTGGTTTTATTGCATGTAACAACCCTGCCAATTGTTTGGAGACGTTTAGCAGCTGTAACAAGACCTGCACTGGCTTTATTTACCTGTGGTGGTTGCTGCTTGCCTTGTACAAACAGTTGAGCGGTGTTTTTATAAAGGTTTTAATGTTCTGTTATTGTCATGGAGTATGTGCAATGGATAGTGTTGTAAATTAGGGGAAAATGTGGATTACTTGTAAAAGTCTTGTGGTTGAAATGCTAAAACTTGACCTTCCTCTTTCTCAGGAGAATGTTTGCATTAGCATGACGTCTACTTCCTTTTGAACGATGGTTGTAGAATGACTGAGCAGTGAGAAAAAAACTAAAAAACACTATATTTTTGTTATAAATTTGTAAGATAATAGTATTATACAACAAGAATAGTGGTAATATATTAAGGTGGACTAGTGTCTGTGTTTGTCAAAGATCAATTTAAATAGTTTTCCATTATTAAATATTCATTACCCCCACACACTGATGAATTACATCCGTTCAGGCATTTATTTATGTTAACAGCTGCCTAAATTCCCCCATATCATAATGTACTGTCTAAATATGATGCAGCAATTTGTAAATGTTATAAGTGTACAGAGATCTGACATTATTATCTGTGAATAACATACTGTAGCGTGCACCACATCAGTGCTGTTGACATTGTGGAGTACATTTCTCAAATGTTGTGTATTGTCAAAAATAACAGTCCTTGTCAATAAATAAATGTTTATTGATAATAACTCCTCAAATAGTTTATCTTCTCCTGTTTTTTTTGTCCTGCCTGGAGACACAAAAAGTCAAATAACAGACACTTTTAAACTTCATCTGGGCCTTCCAGCTATGGGTGCACAACCTGTATGAAGAAACGTGAATTGTGCTCTCAAATTGGTAGTAGATTGTCCTTGTGAGCAAATAAGCAAACACACTTAGCTTCAGCTTATAGCTTCAACATTTCAACATTTAGCCCTGCAGCTTGCCTTTGGTCTCTGGGTGTGACAGTTATGACTAGCGGCTACGCTAAGCAGGTTTCTCAACAGAAAACAGAAGATGATCACAAGATAACACAGAAGTTCCTGCTCCGGCTCAAACTGTAGAAGATGAGAAATAAGAGACATAATGGTGAAAGATTAGCCCTTCCTTTCTGAGCACAATAACAAATTAGTCTTTTTACTCTTCATGACCATGATCCATCTGGTTGTCACTTTCCAGTCTGCAGTCTTTCTGTCTGCTAAGTGAATGGTCCTCAAATCACTCCATTTTTTGCATGAAGGGCAAGTTCTAGAGAGCCCAGCTCTTGCTATGGTCAAGAATGGGTTTACTGTCAGAGAACTATAAGCTGGATCCGGTCCTTCTGACACAGATCCCAGAGCAGTGCGCCTGTAAGAACTGGATATCATTTGAGATTTAGCCCTAAAAAGTCTACACCCCCCTCTGCCTTGGATACAGCCTCCTGGTGGCTCTCCTGGTCTCCAAACCACCGTGCAGCCACGGTTAGCTGCGCTGGCTGAGGCTGTGCACGTGGGTGAGGTACTGTGTGAGATCGTCCTCCCCCTCCTCCTCCAGGTGCTGTTGGTAGCACTGAAGCAGCTTGGCAGCGCTGGCCTCTGAGGGGACCCCACCAGCAGGCAGGCAAGCCCCTGACATGTCCAGGATGATGGTGGTTAAGGACTTGATGTAATTCTTTGCAAGGGTCAGTGTCTCAATCTTGGACAGCTTCTTGTCAGTGTTGATGTGGGGGATGGCCTCGCGCAGTGCTTGGAAGGCATTGTTGAGTTTGTGCATGCGCTGGCGTTCCCGCTCGTTGCTCTCTAGTCGCCGGATGCTGCGTTCCTTGTTGCTGGAGCCACGTTGCCTGCGCCGTCGGCCTCCACCCACTCCTCCTTGACGCTTGCCATCCCCGGCCCTCAGCGACCCCCTCCAGGAGCCACCGATACGGACCGAGGCCTCTGAGCCTTCCTGCTCACTGGAGCCGGGTTCTGGTTCTGTATCCGGTTCCAGCTCTGGCTCAGGGTCAGACCAGGTCCGCCTGGATGGTTTCAGAGCCTTCCCTTTGGACTTCATCCTGCTGCCTTCTTTACCCCTCTCTCTCTGACAGTGTAGATCTCACAGCTTCAACAGGCCTGGTGAAAAGAGAGGAATATTTGAGAGAGGAAGAAAAAGCAGAACTTTTCTGAGTTATAGAAAAGTGGCACTTTAACATAAATTCAAAGTATTTTTATGCAGTCTTTTCCAAGACAGCCAGTAACCCGCAATTACTGAATAAGCCTCTCTCCAATTCAAACAGGCTTGCATCCTGTTGTATCTAATCAGCCTGATGCAGTGTGAAAACTCCACGATGTTGTCCTGTTAATCTACTCCTCTCTTATCCTCCCGGTCCTGCGATAATGCCCATGTCAAGGTTACACTTACAAAAACACAGAGACCAGCCAGCAGCACTCCGCTAATTCACCTCCAATGCTTTTCACCCTGTTTTAACCAGTAGATGTTCACTGGATGAATTAACTCACTGTCTGCCATCATGTTGAAATTTGCTGTAACTTTAGTTGTGGATTTACCACAGTGGTTTCAAAGGAATGGGAATTTCTTTAAACTGTATTTTCAAGTATGCTAATGTTAGGATAATAACATAAAGCTGTTTTACATAAATTAATGACAACTCCACGGGTATTTCTCATCACCATCCTTTTCTCCTTCCCTCTGTATTTTCCTAACACAACCATAATCACCCCAACGGCAGTGTTGTAACTGATATGAGATAAACAGGCAAAATTCAGCTTAAGTTAATTCACTGCAGCAAATGATACACTTTTACCTCGAAAGTCAGTGAAAGAGGACGACACGATTAAAAAAAAGCCTTACCTTTGATATTAAACTCACTTTTCTTCTCCTGAGTGTTTACCACAGAAAACTCGCCCGGGTGCAGCCGTCATTCAAAGCATAAAGTGAAAAGAGCAGAGAGCAGCGGATACACACACGCACGCAGACAACTGTCACATGTGCGCTACCTGTAGCTGACTGATGTACACGTAGCGCTGCTCAGCCAATCATAGAGCAGGCTCACTCCCTCCAGGGCACAACAGGCTGCTGCACAATGTCACAACCAACACCACAAAAACGGTGTGGTTTTAGGGATTACTGCTGTGTTCTTGCTGGGTTTGTGCAAAAATGGTTGGCTGCATGCATTAGAAAAGAAAGGAATTTAATGAAAGATTTTACCATATTATTTGATAGTCTCGTGGAACCACATTTCAGATCATTCTTTAGATTAAATAAAAGTAGCAACACTGCACTATAAAAAGTAAAATCAGGACAAGTAAGCATCTGCAACATAATCTATACAAAATATTAACCCAGTACTTATTATGTGAAATTGCTCAATTCTTGTCATTACTGCTGATGCTTTAAGCAGTCGGCTACTTTAATGTTGTAGTTGGTTGAGGTGGAGCTGCTTAATATATAATGTTTGGTAGTTTAATATGTATCAATGCATTGTTTTTTAAAAACTGATCAATTGTTTTGTGTAACTGTACAGCTATTAAATAAATGTACTGATGTAAAATGTACAATACTTTCCACAGAAGTGGAATGGAAAGTAACATACAATGCATGACAATGCAAGTTTGGGATTAAAAATAATGTCAGGGAGTGATATAGATGGTGGATTGCATAGCTGGTATCACTGCAATATTTAAACAATGTAAAGAGCAACATTGGCCCTATCTGTAATATGATTAAAAATGTCTTTCCATGTCCAAAATAAAATTTCAGTCAAAGTGTAAATGTGCCATTGTGCCACTCTACTACATACTGCTCCACCACAACATGTCCCAAGTGAAGTATAGTATTTTATTCTTCACTGTTCCTGAGCTGAATATAGATATTTCATATATATAACTATATTTATATTAGTTTGACCTCTTGTAAGGAGTATAATAAGATAGTTACCAGAGTCAGACACATTGCATTTTCGTTCCTCGTCCTCCTTTAACTCCAAGCAGTTAACATAATTTCCATTGTGGCTTATCACCTTCCGCTGCTTCATTTGAATACAGTCCTCCAGGCTACACTTGAATGTCTCATTTAAACTTTGTCACATTAGGCCTATTTACTTTTTACCAGACAAACTGTTTTAACCTTTTTGCGTTTTCCGTGACAGCGTAATTTAGACCACTGGATGCTGTCAAGCTATTTAAACTGAAACAAAGATACCAAACAAACAAGGACAGAACAAACATAATTAACCTTTTTGAATAATCACCATCACACCCCTTTAACACTCGTATGTGTGATCTGCAGTAATTCCACCTTGTCTATTTGACCAGAGGGCCCAAACACAACTGTTGGCAGTTGGCATTATTGCCCTTTCCTACTGTGATAGATAGGTCAGTAGAGATAGGGTGGTGTCATGACAGTGAGTAAAACTGACTGATTATAGTTAAATCATGTGTCACAGCATGTTTTATGGTAATCAGAAACACCACACAGTCTCTTGAAACATTTCTAAACTCTCTAAGTCTTTTATGTTTTCCATATCTTAAACTACCAAAAGATACAAAGAATATGAAATATATTTAAAAATCCAACTGTTTATATATTAATTTCTTACAATTAAGACACGATTAAATGGAATTCTTATAAGTTCAGTTCTCTAAAGTACTAACTCAGAAAAAGTAGCTGTTTTAGGCTTCTAGTTCTGCTCTCTGTATGTATCATTTTGTTTTTTATGTGTTGATAATCTGGCTTTATAATCTGTTATATATCATATATATACCAACTAACAGGATTTCTTCTTAAATGTTTCAGAAATGCATCTAAGTACAGTATTTGAAACAACAAAGGTTTTAATGCTAATGGCAACACAGGAACACAGTAGAGCTTGTTCTTCCTATGAATGTTTACATCGCTTTTACAATGAATTCTAAAGTTGTAATTTTCATAACTAAACTAAAAGGCCTTCCTTAAATGTCTTTTAGTGTAGCCATGTTGAGACACTCCGGAAAAGCCACAAGCAAGCTAGCAGCTAGAAAGCTCAGCTTAACAAGAAAATGTAGCATCAGTGAGGGAAAATGTATTTAATTATAAATTAATATTTTTGTTAGTTCAGTTTCTGCCAGAATAGAGAGCTTTCCTTTTTAATGCAACAAATTTGAAGCTACGTGGTACGTTAGCTTAAAGGAAAACCTGTGATAGCAAAAAACTATTTTACATTAAAAAATGCTCAGGCAATAATAAAAACAAACTTTGTGGCAGCTTACAGGTAAAAATACACATTTTATGAATAAAGTCAAAGAACATATTAGCAACTTTAACACTGAATGTCAGGAATGTATAATAATAAACAATAATGTACAGGTGTGAAGCTCCCAGCTATAGTGGCAAGCAATTTTAGCTTTTGGTGTCCTTGAACAGCTTGTGTGTGTGTGTGTGTGTGTGTGTGTGTGTGTGCATGCGCGCGCGTGTGTGTCCTGCCAGGTTTCCTTTCCTCCTCAGGTACACTGTATCTAATCAACCAAACCTCGCTGATGCTGGCTTTGTGGAAACATTATCTATTACTTTTAGTTTGTTCAGTTTCTGCCTCCATTGGCCCTAAGGCTTACACTGTTTATTTAGTCGCAGCCGCTGATAAATTCTGAGCTGAATACACTTCAGTAATGAGGCAAGCAAACAGGGCCTCTACAAGCATGTTCTGTTTGTGCAAAACAAACTACATAAACAACATAATACTCCTTGTTTTACAAGATTAACCTGGGATTTCAGACACAGATGACAATTTATTAAATGAAATTTATTGGAATTAACAACACTTATGTTCCCGTTTCACAGCTGAGGTCAAAGGACACAACCTGGCACAAAAAAAGGAGCTTAGCCAGCCAGTGACCGTGTCATACCAACAACTGTGAAAGCTGAATGCACTGTCACTCAGTGCTGCGTGGCTGTGATGTCACAAACGCCAGGTGCTTCGAATCTATTTGGAGCAGAGAGGGGAAAAAAGCCATTAAAATCCCTGACTCATCATAAAACAGGAGGGAGATGAGTTAGAGGTGAGGAGGACGAGATCTGGACGATTAGTCAGTTTTTCCATTAGGCCAAAGGCTGTCTGGCTGAAAGAAAAACAAGTGTGGATGTCACATTAGGCCATGGTGACAATGAGATGGCCTTTGGCTGAAGGCAGACGATTTGATAGAAAGGCTACCACCATAGAAATCAGCACCTACAACTCAATATGTGTGTATGTGTGTGTCACTAACCCTCTCTAATCTCACAGCTCAAGGTCTGACTCAGTGACATGGGTGAGGAAGAGGAACCTTTGGGACAGAAAGAAATGCTCTGGCCTGGGCAGAGCAGTGCAGCTTTGTGTTGTCAGGGAAAGGGTGTAGTGCTGTGATACCGAGTGTCTGACACACTGAAAATGGCAGTTCTTCTCCAAAGCTGAGAAGTCGTCTTCCCACTCCAATCCTGCAGGAAAAACCAACCACACACACAGTTAGTGATAACAAAGTGCCAACAGCCTGGAGCATCTGGGTTTAGCAGGACTAAACAAATTGTTTATTGCCACACCCCGATCTTGTTATATTGTAAGCCACATTTAGTGTCAAAATATTACCTTATTTATCACTAAGTTACAAAATGCAACACCATCACACGTTTTTTTTAACAAATATAATCCTTCAATCCGAAATGTCTTTCTTTTTAAATGGTAACTCCTGATGGATAATCCCTCCTGACATCATGTTGCAACATGCTGCTTCACCAAGAAATATACACTCCAGTAAAATTCCTGCATTGAAAATGTTACTTTAAAAGTATTTTAAGGAAAATGTATACTAGTATATACTCTTTAACCACACAGGTGTACTCGCTTTCAGCAGGTGTTTCTGCCTCTGGAGCTGTTACCACTACCATAATTATTATTTTACATCTCTATGTTGAACTTGTATTGTGCTCCCGTGCAACTCAAACAGATATACTTAGTTATTTTCCACCAGTGCACCATTGTCAGCAGTAACGTTCAGTATGCACAATATGTAGTTAATGGGATAATTGTAAATTAAGAGTACCACTGTCTTCTAATGTGACCTCTGGCAGGTTGCAGGAATAGTTGCTTGACAGAGATGTGTGGGGCCCAGGGTGCAGCTCGAGGGTGGGACTCTCCTAAGAATAATAAGAGTGGACAGTCAGTTGTAATCAAACAGGAAACAAAGGTGTCAAAGCCTCAGATTGGATTGGTAGCACAATCAGTAATTATTCAACCCGCATATGCCCGGTGTGTAACAAAGCCCAAAACCCACCAAGCCACAGGAGGACAGTACCTGATCGAACAGGTAGAGCGTGACATCATCATTAAAGCACACAGTCTTCCTCTTTTTTACATTCTTGTCCCTCCCAGACAATACGCCTGGAGCATTGTAGATTTGACAGGATTTCAGAAGACTTTTAAGGTTGCATGTGTTCAAATTGTGTCTGCTAACAAGCTCATGTTGAATCCCTTTAGAGTTGGTGTTGGGATCGTGGGGCCAGTGGGCAGTGAAGTTTTTCAAATCACTTAGCACATTGTTATCACTGATATGCCAACCAATATCCCCTACAGACGTCCTACAATCCACAGCGTGGCAAGTGTCACCAAAAAGTTGAGGCGGTACGTCGTCATCACAGAAGATGATAAAGCTATTATGCCGATCCGTTGTGACAGTGTCCTGCGGGGTCACAATGTTTAAATTATTTTTGAACAAACTGAAAACGTCCTGCATATTTAAAATAAGTCTCGTCCATGGGGCCATCTTTGAGCACTGTGGGACAAAAGAAGCTAAAGAAGTGAATGCTGAATGATGCATGGGCCCCTCCGGAAGACAGTAATGTCGAGGGGGGATAGAGAAGCGTGGGGCCCATGTTACCAAGCTTGATCTGCAGTCACTGGTCCTCCATAACTTAGGGGCTGCATTTCCTTTTTGATCAAGGATACAGACGCAGGTGATTGGCTGCAGCTCCTCATCAGCCTGAGTCATCTGACCTGAGGACATCAACATCTGGAACTCTTCATCCCTGTGTAAATAATTCACAATGACTCATTGAAACTTTGTTGTATTTAAATTGGTTCTGTTCAACATCACAAGTAAAGTAAGTAGGTTTTTGGCTCACTGAGAGATTATTACTGACATCTTGGATGTGCTAATTTTCTGTTTAACCACTACAAAAGATAATTTGGCTTGTTTACAACCTGTCTGATTGTCAAACCACTTATGTTTTTTACCCCCTCAGACTACACTACAGCGATGTAGATGCGTTCACAGATTATTACCATAAACAATTTACTTTAGTGAGTGCAAAGTTATCAAACCTAATAGAAATGATGGCCAAAAATAGCACCCAAGTTGTATTAAACCAGAATTATGCTATTAGCACTATTGTTATTATAATGTGGCAATGGCCAACTTAAACCGGCTATATTCAATAGTGTTACAATAACAACATATGAAATTACAATTTGAAAAGGGTTTGCTCATAGTGATGAACCTACAGTGAATTATCACCTGAATCAGCTCACAGCATTACTGTTTTGATTCACTCACAGCTCTCATAGAGTCGTTCCGGCCACAACAAACAGCCTTGAGTGAAAATGCCCTAAAAACATTTTGTAGACTACCTGTTCAGCAGATAAACACAGTTAGCAACTAGCTGGTGAACATAATAGAGCATTTAGCAGCTTAAGAGACAGATATTTCCCCTAGAAGTTGGTGGAGACCAAAAACAGAGATAAAGGTGAGTGACTATTGGAAACACAACTAAATGACGATGTTTCCCAATAAATGCTGGATGTGTAAATTAGCAACTGTTTGGTAACAGTTCTTGATATCAAATTAAAATGTGTTGATTTATCAACGTTGTGTTCACAACTTGTTTTTGCTGCTGCTAAGTGGCCAAAAACAGATCAGTTGTTCAGGTTAAAACTTAAGAAAACCTCATGGTAATAGTCTAATACATATGAGACTGCTTGTTTTTTCAAACCTTGTCTGAATCCAACAGCCATGCTGACTGTGTTAGTTGTAGAGGACTAATATTTAGCTTGGTTTGCCCAGCTTGGTTATGACTTACAGTAGGGAAATCTGTAAGTAACAGTTACATCTGAGGAGTGACCAATATAATAGTGACATGAGCTACGACAATTTGTAAATGGCGTATATCAATAGAAATACTGTGTCAATACTCAACAGTGTCAATGTCATATACCACTGAGAATGAGGTATTTAGTATTCAGGCACAAAATGCCTTTTTCAATATAATGCTTATGAGTGTCTGGTCAAAGGGCACTTGGTTGTGGATGGAGTACATTGGTGGTTTGGGGATGGAGCCTGTGTAGGCTGAGTTATTACATGGGCTCCACAATATGAAGCCACCAGTTCACACAATTCAACAAGCATAAAGTTTAACCAAAGATGATGTGTAGGCTTTGTCTAAAGATAATACCCTCTTACACACAATATCATTCCATTTCACTGGACATTTTAAGGAGTCTGCTGCAGTGCACAAAAAGCCCTTGTCTGTTAACAACAGGATGTACTAAAACTGATTTGTCAGCCTTTGTCCATTGGATGAAGCAGTGTACGCACAAGTGCGCGCATGCACAAAAACACATACATTATTTGGCCACTCAATCCTGAGCCTGAATAAATATCGGGGCCCATCCATCCGCGGAGACAAAGACGCAATAGGAAACTTTTACCGCTCTGTAGTAACCAAGCAACCGCTGGATGAGTGACTCAGGAAAGGAAGAGAGGAGCTGACTCACAGCAGCTGTGACGTAAAGGATGTAAAAAGACACACATACACATACCACTGTATGGTCTCAAACGCACAAAAACACCCTTATGCAGTAGGCCATGAAGCCTGTAATCTGCCCTGTTTCAGGTAAATGAATATCTTACTCAACAGGTGGAGGGGCTCAGAAGAAAGACAGATTATAACCTAATTAACTTTTCCAAACAGCCAATACACATCCAGACAACCTCAAGTCCCACCGCCATAAACACAGACAGACCATCAAACACAGGGATGAAAAATTTTAAATCATACCGTTTCTTGATTCCTTTGTCACTGCAGCTCCTTTTAGAAAGCCAATTCAAACCATCCAATGAAATCACCAACATAGCTCCATCCCTGAAGTATTTTAACTCTGTAAAAAGAAAGAAAGCAAACATGGTTATCAACTGATATGCATTGCTGAAAATCTTGCTGCATCATGACGCTGCAGAATGCATTGCAACACACTTAATCTCTCTGCATCTGCCATGCGTGACACCAGCACATTTTTCCTACCTTGCATCCTGCGAGCCCCACTCATTCCCCCGGCTATTAATGCGCGACAGAAACCTCATTGAGGGCACCAAAAGAGACAAGCTAAACGTATGGACAGAGAGAGGAGATAGAGAGATGCACAGAAAAAGACAGGAGGGAGGAGGGGGAATCAGACGGGATAGCGAGTGAATGAAGGATGGGGGGAAATGAAATAAGGGGAGTAGATCAGAGGAGGTGAGAAAGGAGGTGAGGACAAATAAAGGACAAAGAGCTCATATTTACAGTACACTTCCTGGAGGCTGCCAGCCTTTCGGCAGCAGCACAGTGGAAGATGGGGATCAATAACTTATCTGTTTTAATGTAACACAACTGCCTGAATGATTCACAGCAGAGCGGATGTTACAGTAACATACATACACATACCTGTGTGGTTAAAACAGTAAGATTGGCAGCTGTTATGCACTTCACATATTAAACACTTCTTTTGGTGTCAAGGTTGTGGACTCACAATCAGCAATGTTGTATTTGTCTTTTAGGGAGCTTTTATACACAGTTTGGTTTTGATAATAATAATAATAATTTGGTTGTAATATGTTATGTGCATTAACCATTAATGTCTGTGAAGGTTCTCAGTCATCCAGGTCAAAGTTGTCCAAGGAAGGTTAAGGTCAATACGAACTGGACTTGGTTGAAGACACTTAAAGACGTTTCGTCCATCATCCGACAGACTTCTTCAGTTCCGACTGACTGGTAGATCAATTCAGCTATTTTTCCGATGTTTTTCAAGATTATTGATACAGCTGTTTCGTTAGTTCTCCTGTTGTTACGGTTGTTGGAGTCACCCGGCCAAGTCTAACGACCATCTATGGCATCTTCACCTGTGGCCAAAAGAGAAATCTAATTTTACTGAACAAGTTATTTATGTACACAAAGGATGAGTGAGTCGGCACAATGGCATTTCACTGTACTTGTACGTGTGACAATAAACTTGAACTTACTAAGGGTGACGTCCTTCACGGCCCTTGGTGGACCAAGCCGTTCCACTTTGGGAACCACTGATCTCCATCTCCCCATATTTGTTGTCTGGTAAAAACAGACTCTGTCAAGCTGTATGTGCAGGTGATGTTTGAAAAAGTGAATCCTTGAACCTTCTGCGTGTGACTTCCATTGTACTTTTGGGCGAAATGTTTGGGAAGCCTCTCAGTCCATGATTTTGGTGCATGGTCTCACAGTGAACAATAACTCCCTCTAGGGGTTGCAAGCAGAATAGCAAGCAGCTGCAGCCAGTACTGGGGCAAATGAGAGAACTGCAGCAGAGCTCCAACACCATAATGAAATGCTGCTATGTACACATTTAACTACGACTGTTGCTACCAATGATGCAGCTATTACAACTTTTACTAATAGATAAGGAAATATTACTCATACTTTATCATTACTATTTCAATATATATTACTACCATCCCTACTTCTATTGTTCATGATCCTTTACTTCTGCTGCTATTGCTGTTGTACTGTAATGTTATTTATCATCATCACTGTCTCATGTAACTTCCAATCAGCCACATTTATTAAGAAGTTCCCGCTGGTATAGTCCTCCCCCTGGCAACAAAATCACTGATGCTGGAGTTCTGCTTTCCACACCCAGACAGCATCAGGATGTTGTTCCCAGAAGGCAACAATGTCACCATTCAGTCCATCTCTGGTTCCCAAGAGAGGGGACATGACAAGAGAAAAGAGATGTAGAGATGGACAGATGGTGTTTTTATTGAGAATGAGGAAGGTGATCCCATTTCTCTTCTCCTCATTTTGCTTTTTGCCACCTCCTCCCACCTCTGTACAAAATGTTGTCCTCTGAGAGGCTTCGTGTCACCCAGCAACGTGCACCCATGGATCCATATCAGGTCAGCCAGGGCACTCGGACTGCTTGCAGTCCAGTGTTTTGACATAGTCAACTCTTTTTTCACTGGACTTAGCAGTACATATGAGGATGTGATACAGTCCCTGAGCTGAAAGCCGTCTCCCGGGCACAAAATGTGAGCTTGTTTGTCTGTTCCACTTTCTATTTTCACATTGGGGTAATGATTGATGTGTGCTCATAATCTGATGTCTCAAAAATATCTGCATCCAAATATCAGATGAAAGAGTGATACGTCTTTGGTTTCAGGCCTTCTACTGACTGGGAAGAAGCCGAGGAAGCCTAATTGATGTGTTTTATTATCTGTTGTAGTTTATTTAAGCGAGATACAGAACTCGATATCATTTCTCCACTGATCTGCTCTGCGCCTTTAGCCAGAGGCGTGTGCTGAAAGCCATCAAGCTAGTTAATTTGGTTTCCAACCAGCCAGTGATCCAACTCTTTCGTCTGCCTCAACAATTTGCTGCAGCTTACAGGGAAACCTGACCTCACAGGCATCAACAGGCGAACTAGAGCAAAGAGTGTGTCTGTTGTGCTGAAGAGGGTGAGAACAAGCTCAAGCACTGAGGCGACAGTTCAGCTTGAATTTTTTAAAGAATTGTTATCGTCTCACTCTAGCCTACTGCTCTGATTGAGCTATAACGTGCACATTGCATGCCAGAAAAAACTGTAGAACTATCCTTTTACACTGCAAGCGCAGAATCATCCTATCCAGCCGGCAGACGGTGAGTGACACCAAACAATCCGTGAGGGGAGGGTAATTGGAGATCATTGGGATTATTCTGAGCATGCAGAATACACCATGCTAAGTGCCTGAGGAGGAACATATGGAGTCCCACGCCAAAGGAATGGGGCACTGCAAAGCTTTATGGGTAACATGGGGAAGTGAAACATCCAGTCAGGACACCAATAGTGCTGTTTGCAGCCTTTATTTGGACACAACAGGGTCTCGTGGCTGCAGAGGGAAGGCGCTGAGAGGAAGTGAAATGTGACACTAAGATGACAACATACAGAGTGGTAAATATGTCACTGTTGTGTACATATTTATTCAAGGTGGCTTAACCAGTGATAAAACTGCAATGACCTCTGTCATAAGCACATAAAGTAAGACAGGGAACTTTTTTGCTGCCTTTACATTTTAAATGATAGAAGCCAGCGCTGGAACTGGTTGTGAATTGAAGGACTAATCTGTTGCAGATCAGCACTAGCTGTGCTGCACAGCGGTGAGCCCTGCCATAAACTCCCTTTGTAGGGAGAAAATTCTTTTCTCTTAAGCGGGAGATTATAGGGTCTTAAAGGTGTTTGCTGACAGAGTGTCTTTAATATGATGACATAAATGTGTAATCCATCTCAGATCGCTGGCGGAGTATTTATGAGCCTCTGTTGACAGCAGTACACCTGCTCCTCCCCAGTCCAGACCTGGGAACACTGCCCGCCTGAACTAGCACCGCTGCTGCCAAGGGCACTGCCATATTGGGAAAAGTGTGAGTGTGTGTGTGTGTGTGTGAGTGAGTGTGTGTGTGTGTGTGTGTGTGTGTGTGTGAGTGAGTGTGTGTGTGAGCGTGTGAGTGAGTGTGTGTGTGAGCGTGTGAGTGAGTGTGTGTGTGTGTGTGTATGTGAAAAGGTGTAGGGAGACACAGACAGGAGGAGACACAGCTGTGTGAGGAGGGTGGGTCAGTGTTGGTGGGAGGATTTGGTCGGGTGGGGGAATGTAGGGTGAGTAAGTCTATCTTTACTCATTTCCTGATGCTATAAGAACATGAGATTACTGATAGTCATTTATTACTCCATCATTCACCATATAGAATCCATTTCGTGACAGAGGGAGAAATAAATATCTTGTTTACACAAAGTGTGTCTGACCAGGCAGAACAGGACCCTGGTGAAAGTCAAAAATTAAAGTGTTGGCACACAAAGGTGGTACCACACACTGACCAGGCAGTCTGCTGGATGCAGAAGGCGTATCAATGTATTCATTATTCCGCAATCATTACCAAACAAGTAGGGTATGCACATACAGTATGATCGATCAAAATGTGGAACCGAGAATTTGCACACTCGAAAGCTCTCGTGGATTTATGTTACACATTTTGACATTATGAGTTATTAATTCACTAAACACAAGTCCTGAAGTTCTGCAAAATGCAAAGACAGCAACATTTTGTTGAATAAAACATTTTAACTTAAATAATACACATCAACATACTTAGAGAAATCTGTTATAGCAGAGAATGCATTTTTGTACAATAAGCTATTTCTATATACAATATATATACTATGTTAAGTTTTTGGTTGTGTCTAACAAAACATACAACCTAAATAAATGTTAAAAAGCTACTGATGGAGAGCATTACTGCACCTAAATATTGATAGATTTATAGGACAAACATCATTCTTGCAGTGTCTGCATGTATACATCATTACAGGAGGAGACCAAAAAAAGCAAATGAATCCATCAACATAACATCTAAGAGCAGAAATATTATTCAGTTAGTTAAAACCTTTTCTGCAGCTTGTGTCATTGCGGTGTCCTACCACTGGACGACAGTAGAGTGTAGCAGTAAGCCTCAGTGGGGGTAATAAAGGAAACTGAGGATTTCACACACAAGCACACAAAACTCGAACCTTGTTAGGACAAATGGAGGCATAGCAATAGCAGTGTTTTTTTTAAATGTCTTTTAATCAAAGTTCAAAAATATTTCCTTTTCCTTTGCATTTTTTGCTTTTGTGCGTCTCCCCGCACTACTTGTGTTACTGGCATTATTTCAGTCAGGCATTACACCCGGTGGTGAAAGGCCTGTGCCTGTCTGTCACTCTAGTTGGGCCCATTTCTTTTTCTGCACTTGTGCCATTTTAAAGGTTGAGCAGTGACCGCGACTGTGCGTGTAAACACTTGCCTCATTCCATCCTGTAAACAAACCACAGCTAAGGGAGCAGCAGCTACGCGGGGCGAAATTGTATTTCAGCAGTAACATAAAGTTAACACACGCACAAGTGGGGAGGAATTTAGCTTGAAATGTGCGGACTGCTGGCAGGGAAAAGACTGTGGGAAACATGTTGAAAAGCAGAACGGTGCCCTCTGACCTGTATGAACACACACATGTATCGGCACACACACTTGAGCATGCATTGGCCGAGACAGCTGTGGGACTCCTCAACTTGTTTAAAGTGTTTATGGAGGAGCTGAGTTTGGGCTCTCGTTGACAGAGGTCTCATTTACACACACACACACACACACACACACACACACACACACAACCCTGATCAGATAAGAGCAGATCTGTTTCAGCGGCTAATCTTAAATGTGATGAGGTTTACAGGGGCCTGTGGCATTGGATTATACATGAATATCTCTATTTGGGAATCCGGCGCTGCCCAGGGGTATATCACTCTACCTCACACTATAGGAACAGGAAATAGGACACTATGCTTTCATGTCAAGCCATTACTTTTAAGTACATACTAGATTTACTTTGGCTTGTAGTTCCCAATTATGGTTATATGGACAAAGAGAAAAGGCTGTTCAGAAGGAATTTATTTTGGGGAAGGTCTTGTTAGTATAGCAGCATCTATCATTCTACGTCCCGTAGGCTACATCCAACTGTCCAGCACACTTATAAATCCAGACCAATCCCTGACACCACTATCTTTGCTGACACCGACCGCCCTCCTGTCCTCGGGGACGTCTGAGGGAGTCCCTGAGTCCCACCCTGACCCCCACCCCCACCCCAAGGCCATCACCGTGTCTTGTCCCCGCACAGATCCTATCACTTGCAGCCTGAGCTGACTGGTATTCATCAGGCCCTACTCCAGTTGCACAGCAGCAACCCCATTTAAGTCAAAAATGTATTGAGTCAGGATTGCCCCCTTAGTTACAGCAAATAGATAAGAAAAGGAGCAGCAAGGACACAGGAGATAGAAATGGCTGTACCTCTGTGCAACTGACAGGGATTTCATATTTGGAGTCAATCTACCAAGCTGAGGAAGATCAACTTCCCTCCAGCTAGTGATAGACCAGGACAACACCAGATGGTTGCTGCCTTCCACCAAGGCTGCGACAGACATGCACTACTTCGACTGAGAGGTGTGTACTACTTAAAAGGAAAACATCGTACCACTCTCAGTCGGCGAACGTAGCTTGGCATGAACATTGGAAGTAGGAGGAAATAGCTGTCGGGAGTCTGTGTATGGTCCGGGCATGGACCATACATTATTTGGAACATAAGTCCTTAAAAAGCTACTCTTGTACTTCCTCTTGTAGCTTAGCGCAGAAGCCACATCATACTATTAGAGTAATATATACATATTAATTCAATATCTTCAAGGGGACAAGAAGACACCATGTATTTGTCTCTTTTTTCACTCATAACTTCATTTTAATTTGATTGTAAGTGACTAAAATGAGGTTTTAGTCATTTCTATGCAGATTTTAAACAGGCTGACATTGGAGCAAAGAAGCATGAAAAAAAAAGGCTGGCACTAGCATCAATCCGGAAAAAGTATAGAGAGACAAAGTGAGAAGGTAGGGAGAGAAATTCAGCAAACATAACTTAGTTGCTCAACTGGTGTGGGTCAATGTGATCACAGTGCAGTGGTAATTCATATGAGGGAGAAAGCTTCTGATTCTGACTCAGTGTCGCTGCAGGAGTATCAGCAGAACTGTTGTCTTGTGTCAGTAAACTGAAAGGCAGCGACATGCACAGTGTGGATACATGCATGAGCCCACGCAAAGATGCATGCATTGACATACAGTGCCATCCACACACACAAAATAGATGCATGCACAGACGCAAACTCACACACATCCAGTCTTGAGTGATTCATGTCAAAACAGAGTAGAGAGGTGAATGACACACACCATGTACAGACACAATGTCAGAGACAATCACACAGGCTGAAAGAGTGGTGCCAGAGCAGACAGGAGAGATAAAACTGTTAGGAGGGTGGTGGTGGAGGGTGGAGCTTCAAGTGTATGTTGGAGGGGTTATCTTGGCTGAATTTGAGAGCATCACTGGCATGCTTTCACCACAGCTGGTCAGATAGAAATAGACGAGGCAGTAACTGAGCTCGGGAAAAAGGAGGAGCAACCACTTTCCTGGGGATGCACGCAGAGATGAACAGACTGCCTCTCCTCCTCTGTCTCTCTGAGAAGCCAAATGTTTCAGACATTACAGAGGGACTTAAAGATTTAGTTTAGCTGGATGTTAAGTCTATCCTGATGACCATGTCATCCATCTGAATCAAAATGGCTTTCAAGATAAATTGTTTCTACAGAAGACATTACACATAGAGCAACTTTCAACTTTTGAAATCTGACATGATCTAAACATCTTTTATATTTATTCTTTTTAAGTTTAAAGGTCATTGTGAACACAAAAGAAAAGGCAGGATAAAAGATTTCTCATGGAAGGCTTATAAAATGTATTTAATGATGTTTTCCATAATGCAAAGATGAATGAAGGTTATAAACATTTCCCATCCTCATGTTGACTACTGTTTCCTTTCTAACATGCGTAAGTGGTGACAGACGGACTGGACTGACCATGTGTATGAATAAGTAGCAGATAAATGTAAATCATCATGCAGGAAACCAAAGCTGAGTTCATGATAAAAAAAAAAAACTTTCTAAATGTTTCTTTGCCACAAGGTTCAAACTAAAGAAATGGCCTTGTTATGGAACTAATCTAGTTCAGAACTACTCATGAAAATGTAAATGGGGTGCACTACTGTTGCACCTCTTAACCTGAGATGGACAAATTATTTCATTACATACATTTTAATTTTAGACAGATCTACAGTGAATATCTCATGATGCTGTTCAAAACACTTTGCATTTGATCTCAGAAATCTTTATTGTTGTTTATTACTAATAATAAACAATAATATATTAACAATGATGAAATGATGGCCGATGTTTCAGGGGGAAAAACCCCCTGTAAGCCAACTCCCACAAAATAAATCCCAGTAGGTGTGAATGCATCTGTGATGCATCCTTTGTGATACACCCGTGTCTTTGAGCAACACCCTGAATGTCTACCAGCTTACTCAATCATAAGTCCCTGTGGATAAGCTTCATGTCTATACTGTACATCATCAATACACAGACAGCGCAAAACAAGAATGTATCCAATCCTGAAACAATACCAAAGCCTGTCTGGTTCTTAAATTTGTGTAAAATGCAACCTACCATCTGCGTGTGTAATACTTACCATTGCTGGTTTCCATGCCTTTTCCTGATTGTCCCATTGCTCAGTATTTCCCAACACATATGAAAGAACAGAACAGGGAAGTTTGTATGTCAGGCATGTGAAAGTACTCCAACTGACTTTGTGCTGTAGTCTTCCCTGTTCCTCTGAGCTCTTCACAGCTGCCTGTACTTTTAAGAAAACAACCATCCTAAAAAGTCCCCCAAATCACTACGTGCACAAGACCGTCACCCCATCACTATCCATCTTTCTGTGTGTCTGTCTTTTCCTCTCTGTCCCATCCCCCTCTTCCTCCTCTCATCCACCGCTCCATCACGCAGGAAGCCTGGTCTTCCTGAAAACAAGCATTGGAGCATGGAAAGGGACAAGGCTGAGGGGGGCAGCGACATGGTGGGGGGGGGACAGAGGATGTTTTTGTCGTTCCTCTGCCCCTCTGTTTGCTGCAGGCCTCACTGTAGTCCATCCTGAGGAAACCAGGCTCACGTCACCCTGGCCAGGCCTTGGACCCACACGTGCAGCCTGTTAGGGCCAGCAGCCCCTCACACATGGGAGCTATAAAGGCATGTGTGGATTGGAACTGAGGAAAACACTGCTTTTCAAACCATAATGGCATTAGCAAGCAGGAAAAGTCGACACAAACTCACACAGAGTGCATTTCAGTTACACAAAAGGGGTCAAATGTGGTGTCGAGTGAGGAGGGTTTTTGGTGTGTTCTTTACCAGAACAAAAGTCTATCACTTTGCCAGCTAACTGCACCACATTTCCTGTCTGTAATAAACTGCAAAAGCACCCAAAGTATGGGAATTTCTCAGGTGGTTTTGCAGAGACTCCCATGGAATGATTTATAGCAACTCAGCAAATGCACATTTGCCACGTGTAGATGCTGGCTTTCATTTGCAGTTTCAATGTGAAACACTGTGATCTTAAAAAAAATACTGTCACCATCAGGTAATTTAACTTGTCCAACATGTCCAGTTTTGGACATGACGTGACTTCAACCCTAAATGCATTAGGAGTCTAAATACAGACTCAAAACACATGTATTTAAACCCCATGTGTGTGGAGTCCCCCATAGGTCATATTAAAAGATTATACGCATAATAAATTCAATTTAATAAAAAGCACCTATTTTAACAAGATAAAGTTTTTGTTTGACCAGTAATTCAAAGATTTTATTCTTAAATATATCTTTTTTCAACATCATTTCCTGAAAACAGATACACCAGTTCTTCATAACTTCAAATTTAGCTAGTTTTAACACAAATGTTAACTAAGTGGAGATTTATGCATCACTAAATTAAAAAGGGTTTCATCACACAAACTAGTTCTTACGTAGGAATGAATTGTTACTGAATAGTTACAAAATAAAAATTAGATTTAACAAAATTACACAACATATCACAAGGACTAAAGGACTTAATAGCATCTGCTAGGTTAGCATAATCAGATATTTTGCACTCATTCTAAACTAAATGAATGCAGCTAACTCTGATAGACATGTATTTCTCCATAGATGCATTTAAAAATAAAACAAATACAGACAAGATTAAGATATTGTTAGCGCCCCGTAAACTGTAATTTCTGGACGTTATGCTACAGCTCACTTCCAGTTCACATAGTTGAGACCATCTTTAGATTGGGCAGAGCTAAAAGAGTTTTCCAACACTCTATTTACAAACTCTTTACTAACTAACACATTTCTTAACTTATCCGATTTAGTAGGACACATGTTTGAAACCAGACTTAGGAAGCGCTTCAAACACAATGTAATTATGAATTTTCAAAGAGCTGGTGTTTCTCAATCCTGGAGAATAGAACATCAGCTAAATGTATAAATCATGTATACTGATATTAACTGTACCCCACAGTGTGTGATTGTCACGTCTCATGCTTAGCATCGTTTTAAAGGGACACTCACTCATTTGAGAACGGAGCTCTTTACATGTTAAATGTAGCATGTGGAAACAAGGTGACTGTGAGTGGAGACAGCACTATGTCGCATAGCCTGAAAGTGACAGAGGCCATAATAACAGGATGTTTACAGCCTGCGGAAACAATGAAAGGGAAGACCACGAGCAAGCAGCAACCGTGGCTGGAAACACGAGCGAAGAGGAAATGCAGGCCTGCCAGGTCCTCTCCAGATGCACCAAATATAACCTCACTGACTTGCTTGTGTTGTTTATAGAGACATGCTACCTGACTTGGGTCTGTTTAAGCAGATTTAAATCCACTACAACCTCTGACCCCTGGAGAAACCACTCTAAAAAACACAGTTGTGCGATGACGAGATTCTGTCTTTCAACCTCCCTTTCACAAACAGTCACACACACAGTTTACTAAAGTGGTCAGCTGCAGGTGACAGCGGACAGAAGGACACTGGTGGTTTTTGACACCAGTGAGGGTGAAGCCTATTCACTGTCACCAGTAGTTCCTTTTTGCTCATCAGTGGTCACATATTGCACCAGGCTGCAAACATCCTCTGCAACAGTTTCCACCACCATGGCTATTACCGACGTCCTGGCTGCCTCAGACATCACTTCGGCTATTAATGCTTGTAAAGGTGAGGAGATGGTTGTGTGTTGAGTGTGTAATTAGTGTGTCAACAGTGAAAATTGCTCTTTTCACAGGATGTCAGGCCTTTCTTGCACTTTGATTTCACAAAACCTCGAGGACATCATAATTTTAACTGACTGGATCAAATCATGTTTTACCTGTGATTTTACTTTTAGGGAAGGATTCCTTCAGCCCGAAGATGTTTTTCAAAACAGTGGGTTTATCCAAGAAAACTCCAACAGAGATCGAGAGGGTCTTTAAGATTTTGGACCAAGACAAAAGCGGCTTCATAGAACAGGATGAGTTACAGTTGAGTTTTCAACACAAACAGTTATCTTATATATGAATGTACACACTTCCTGCTCCTTCCATAATTCATGTGCCAAGCTGGATTTCACCAAAGGTAGTTCTCTACAGTATTATGTTTCTGTATGAAATGCAGTTCATTTGACATGTTTATTCATTCTGTTCCCTTTTTGTTGCTTGTGTGTATTTTTTCCTCAATGTGGTGCTTCGTCCCCGCTCCTCATCAGACTGTTCCTGCAGAACTTCTCCAAAGGAGCGAGACTGCTGACTGCAGCTGAGACCAGAGCTTTCCTGCTGGAGGGAGACTCGGATGGAGACGGGAAGATCGGCTGGGAAGGTAGACAGGCCTGAGGGGAACTAACCCTGTAGATACTGAACAGCGTTTTGTTTTCTGAATTATCAGACGTGAATGTTTAGTTTGCCTTGATGCGTTGTCATGAAGATGAGCACGGCATTTCTTATAAACAGAGAGGTGATTGAGATCTGTGACTTTTTTAGTCAAACGTCTATGAATTACACTTAAGAATGTTGAATGAAAACAGCTCTTTGATGAGTGTAAAGAATAAGACCCATTTTTCAAGCTAGTTATTACTACTCACAGTAAAGTGTGGGAGTAACCCTTTAAGAGCTCCTCTTAAGTGATCAGATTGATGCTAAAAGCTTAAATAGCCAATCAGATATAAGGATTGACCCTACATCTACCTAATTGTTTATTCTTTCTTTTTTTTAAATCCTTATATTTTACTTATTGATGTTATTCTGCGAATATATATTTAAAGAAAGAAGAAATATCATATAAATACTGGATATATATTTTAAGCTATTACATTTATAGTATTTAAAAACATTATTATGTAAGAAATAACAAGAAAATATCTGTGATACAAACAGAAAGAAAACCTGCATCATATTTAGTATCTTATTGACAAGTGCAGACAATTAAGATGCATTGAAAGTGACTTCAGACAAAATCAGTGCCAGCTTTATTTACATTATTTGTTTGCACCTCTGATAAATGTAAAAGGAGAAAAGGTGGTGAACATCCTATCAAATGCACAAAAAATCCAAATAATAGGCTAAAACTAATGAACTGAATTATAGGCTACATATTGCTACAGCTAGCGTATTATTCATTGTGACCACTTATGATGTCAAAGCAAATTTTATGAATATTTTTCAATCTTAACTTTACAAAAGTAAATAATTTTCATCTTTCCCTGAAGTCCAAACTTTAATTTTGGCAGTTAGATAAATACAGGTGTTAACCATTTGGAAATATATTGATCAGAATCAATCAGCAAAACAGGAACAACTGTGATAAAATCTCAAGTTAAAAACCATTCGTTGTTATCCGTTATTGTAAAAATGCCAGGTAGCGGTGAATTGATGGCCATAAAGTAGTCTCCAGTCAACACTCTTACATCCCTTTGCTGTGTTTCATTTTGTTGCTAATAGACGTGCAGCTACAAGAATTACCTCATAGAAAGGGTCACTGCCAGAGCTACACACTTCAGTTTCTGTTTGTAGTTGTTTGAAGTTTAATGAAATTAGAGGATGATTATTACCAGATAAATGTGAAATGTCTAAAATTCTGTCTTTTGTTTTTTTTTCAGAGTTTTCTGCATTGGTTAAGTCTTCTTAAGTCATGAGTGACCCCTGATATGTTGTACGGTGATCATCTCAAAGTGGACCTCTTTGTAAAATATTAATAGCTACAGTAAACAACATGGACTCATCCAGGGATCGTTTGTGTTTAGAGTAATTTGATATAATGTCTTTTTAACTGAAAGTTATGTGATAAAGTATTTCATATAAACCACAAATTGAATCTTGCCTCTCGGCTATGTGTCTATTCCTGCCAGAAAAGTGTATAAATAAATATACTTTTCTCCATGAGATGTTGGTAGTTTTTTCCTGCTTATTTCCAGTGAGACTCTTGTGCCTCATGTTATGTTGTTATATTGGGTACTGGGACAGGTCCAGCCTGTCTGGGGGTGGGATGGGTGGTGGGTTTCGGTTTCTCCAATTAACAGCGTGAGCAACTTTCCGCTGTGCAAATTAAGTGTTTGACATTCAGGCAAACTCAGTTTGACACCTTAGATGGAGTAATTTGGTGTAAATTATGTGTTTACACATAGAAAACATCTACACATTTTACCATTTTCTTTGAAATCATTTTTACAACTAAATAACAAACTGATAAAACATGTCAACATTCACTACCATAAAAAACAATAAATTTAGACTTTGCTCCTGCTGCTTGATAATATTTTAAACAAGCTTATCATGGCCATGCTCACATGACACATGCTGCATTCTTTCATTCTGCAATTTGCACACAGCTAAAAGGCGCAAGCTCAGCCTGTATACATCATGTCCCTCTTGTGTTTCACTCAAAGATGGGTTTCTTTGCAAAGGTGGGTCTGATGTGGACAGTACCAAAACTGACTGGGATAGTATGGTTGTCATCTAGGAAGGTCATAATAGCGTACTGTAAAATACTTCTTGCTTTAACGTCAGACAAAGTGTTACCACATGTTTTTAATTTAAATGTAGCAAGGAAAGATATTCAGCCATCAGATAAACAGCTCCGGTTATTAAACTATTTCTTATATTAAGTTTTATATGAATGTCGGACAAAAAACTTTAACTGCAATGCATTGTAACTAAGAAGTACTTGGATCATTTACTTGCGTAAGAGTGCATAAGTAATGAGTAAAGTTCTACAACTACTAATTTTCCCTGTCAGTGTTATATTATTATCTTACTGGATCTTTATTATTGATGCGTTAACATGTAAGCAGTAGCCTCTGTTGTATGTAGCAATGTAAGTATGTGAGTACAACTACACTTAGTACAATAGTAAGTACAGAGAGGAACAAATACCACCAAGTATGTGTTTTAGAAGATTTTTGCATTACATTTCTAGGGCACCTGCCCACCTTGCTCTTGTAGAAAGTAAAATACATCAGGACACAATTAACTGGATGAATTTCTCTCACTGTGCAGCTTTTTTGGCACCCAAACTGGTCCCCGTGACCCTGTATGCAGGATAAGCGGTTGACGATGGATGGATGGATGGATGGATGTTAACTGGTGAGAGTTGTAGATCGGAGAGGGGGCACAGGCAGGACACAGTTGGATCAGAGGCAGCAGCTCTGGCAGACACAGAAGTAGCTCTGCGATGGGAGGACTGGGTGTCTGGCAGAGTGTCGGCAGGGCTGGTCCAAGGAGTACCTGCAGTGACCCAGCGAAGGAACTCTGGGACAGGATAGAGTTTCTGTGCCAGTGCAGTTACAGGACTTCTGTCAATGAAGCACATTTATTTGCAACTTTCTCTCAGATGGCAAGCCACAGTGACAGAGAATATAGGTCACTTCTATTTCTGCTGCAGCATGAGGGAACTAACGCCAGTTCTCAGGTGGAACATTAAAGAAACATAGTAAATGTTTCAATCATAAATTAGTTCACACAGAAGGCCAAAAAAATATATGCTGCAGCGTCAAGCTACTAAGCTTGGCATTAAAATTAACGTAAAATAAAAAGTTATGTGGTTGATGATATCTAAAATGTAGCCATGATGCAATTTCAGTGCGTTTATCAGATGCTTACTAAAGTCCAGGGAATTAAGATTTAGCTTTCTAAATATTCAGCAACTTTATTACAAAAGTACAAAGCTCAGAATATGTTTGGGGATCGTCCTTCGCTACCTCAAATTACAGACGCTCATAGCCTTGCTTGATGGGTTTCATCCCTGCTGTGAGATATTTGTAATTTAAACCTGATATTGAAGACGGGCAGGAATAGTTACAGTATCTATGGCGGAGTCGTTTGAGGTAAGAGACCTCATTTGACCACAGCAAATGTTAAAGGCCAGAAATGAGTTTTACAGCACTTTTGGGGAGATCTGAAGTGAAGAAGAAGCAGAGTCAAACACACATTAAAAAATGTATATTGTAAGTACCCTTTCTGGCTGCTGAGAAATCACACATCACACAATGAAGTGTAGGAAGAAACAAATTACACAACGTATTTAAGATTGAAAGAGATCAGTTTATGCAGACCTGAAGCTACAGTCAAAGTGAGAAATAATCTTATACTCATAAGTTCAAAACTGAATGTTTTAATATAGTTTTCAGGATGATTTGTGCAGACAATTAGTATTTGCTGACATTTTAATATTAACTCTTTATCTTCTCAACGTCTCAACACCGCCACCTGATGTTTAATAGTCACATAACAGCCTGCACCCGTCACGGGAGCAAATATGGGCATGGAAAGACCCCTGGACTAGATCCTCATTTCATTTTATTGTTCAGTGTCATTACGCAACCATGCCGTGCCACACCGAAGTGTTAAAATGATAATGATAATGGTGGCAATGATGATACAGATGATATCAGATTTCAATGTTCCCTGAAATAGCGTCACAAATAGTTTCATCACCATAAGGAGAAATGGTCTGAATGCTGCAAGAGGACCAAAAATAAAACCTGGCAAACTGGTCCCTCAGCTGCATGTTAGTAGATTATGATTAGGTACTATCAAATTCAAGTATTTCTATTAATCCCACTGGCTCTCCAATCAAACCCCTCTCCAAACACATAGTATAGTTTGATCACCACCTTGTTCCCATTAAGTTTTTCATATTTCCTTATTCCTTTTTACACCTTCTGTCAAGACTGAGTAATTTATACCTTGGAGAAAGAGCCATCCACAATCATGCTTGCATGCTTGTAAAACTGACACTATTATTAATTTTCTGTTTGTCAAATCCCAGTTGGTCAATTAACTTTCAGTTAACAGTTTCACATATTGAGCCAGACACCAGAACAGGGAAATGTTAGTTACTGGGTGGGTTCCTGTTACGATCTGTGTAAGAATCAAAACATACAAACCTATAAAGACTCTGGTCTTAAAATATGTAAAATCATTTTTTAACTCTCCACTAGATTAACATCTCCTGCGATGATCAATCACTACAACTAGACATTTCTGACACTGGAATGCCAGCTAAATCATTACAGACATTTTACACATGCCAATTTGCCATAGGCTCGTTCTCACCGAAACTCTACCGTTCAGGGGGCACCTGTAGGGTAATTAATTACCAAAGGTGATTATGGTGTAAAGAAACTATTACATTGCTGTTTTTAGGTAGTCTCGAAGCAATATTTTATAACAAAGGCTTATTTGGCTAAGATGGGAATACACAAAATGTATTACACAAACATTACAACCATCCTGAAATATTAACGTCACATTGGGCAGTTTGGGCTTGGCATAATAAAAACCTTTGCATTACTTTTGAAAAAGTTCTTGCATAGAATGTTTTACACACCGATATTATGGCCAAGACTGAAATTCGTCTCAAAACAACAAGGCAAAAAGAGTGTTGTTCCTGTCTGACAACAGAATAAGTAGCTGTACTGACACTATACAAACCTGCTTGATCTGTCTAACTATTTGCAGTCTAAAAGTTTACCTCACTCTTCACTCCGTGTTGCTCTGCACAGTTTAACAGATCAAAACTACATGGCCACAGAGTACGTTTCACCTAAATCAGCAGCGTATATTATTAGCCCTATGTAATATCAAGCACTTTTGCATAGGTCTACACTTAGCCTACCATTTAAGCATCTTCATTTATGTGCATATAAATAGAACAGCTCTGTCTACTGGACACATTTTTCAACTGACTGCTTTGACTGCTTTGCACACAGTGTCTATTACATAGCCTATGCATCATATTTCGGCTGAGTGACGGTATATAAGCTTGTGAGAGTCTCTGAGTGGGTTCACTGCAGTGGCCTGATTCATCAGAGCGAATTCACTCTTGTCTTAGAAGTAACCCTAAGGTGAGTTTCACTGAGGAGCTGCAGACCTTTAGGCACTGCTGCCTGATTCAAAGAGTGGTTCAGGGCTTCAACTTCATTCAATGGGATATAAATCGAGGAAAGGGACAGATTCTGAACATCAGAAACTCAGAGTTTGGCTTTGGACTCACTAAGGAACCAAATGGGAAAAAATCTATTTGCCAACCAACCACAGCTGCAAAGGATATTTGATCTTTTGCCTTGGAGGGCTTGGTTTTGGAAAAATTGGACTACCTTTTCTGTTCATTTGTCTTTTGGGGCTGCCAGAGAGGAATACTCACAGAGAGGAACTGTAAAATATATAACATGGCATAATGAAGATTACATGTAGCTCTTTAACTTTGAATGCTGTATTATAAAGTGCAGTGAGGGAACTTAACAATGCTTAGATTCAAAGTAGAACTGCTTCATCCTTTCTGATTTGCCGCAGCCGAACTGATGTACTGATGACTTGTCCTCTGCTCTCCTCCCTCAGTTAAAAATGGCCCTTGCCGGAATCCTGAATGCCGCTGACATCACTGCAGCCCTTGCGGCTTGCCAAGGTAAACCCCACCATGAAAATGACACATGCAGAACTTATAGGAGAGCCTAGATGGTAGCACACACACACATAAAATCAGGCACTAGAAAAAGGACCTGGATTCTAATTTTACTAATTAGGAACTGAATGTCTTGCTGCAGAATCCAGAATCACATTACCAGATTACAGTTACACCTTTTCTGCATTTAACACTGCAGGATTGTTTTATCAAACACATCTTGGTGCTGGATCAATAGTGCAGCAAGGATCCAGAATGTGACTGCAATACAATTTCTGTATGTCTTAGCAGAAAGCATGTAGGCCATTCTACTTTGTAACAGTATAGCAACTGTAAGGCAAACGAAGCTAAAATGTTGAATGACAGAGATCTGGGATCAATAGCAACTAACTGCCTTAATGCCTTGTAAACAAGAACCAGTGCAGCTGCAAAACACACTTTTAGTTTGTGTGTTATATATCTACAACATCTCATACTGTCCCTTCTCTGTCTCCTCCCAGCTGCTGACTCTTTCAAGCACAAGGACTTCTTTGCTAAGGTCGGCCTCACCGCCAAGACCCCTGACGAGATCAAGAAGGCTTTCGAGGTCATTGACCAGGACAAGAGTGGCTTCATTGAGGAGGATGAGCTGAAGTAGGCACCATCTCTTAAACTTCACCCTCAAGCTTGTCTGAGCCCTTGAAGTGAAGGGATCATCTTTCTTTGGGACAGACATAGCCATCTTGAAATTCTGAGGGAAATTAAGAGCATTTTATTGAGAAATCCCACATTTACAACAATACTGAATATTTCTCTCTGATCGCTCTCTCCAGGCTGTTCCTGCAGAACTTCTCTGCCGGTGCCAGAGCTCTGACCGATGCTGAGACCAAGGTGTTCCTCAAGGCCGGTGACTCCGATGGTGACGGCAAGATCGGAATTGATGGTGAGAAAATGTCTATTTTGACCACAAGGGAACTTCATCTGAAATTACAACCAGATTTAGTGGCTTCAAATATTTGTCCAAAGATCTTGAAATGACATTCTCTCTTTCTTTGTCTCCCTGCAGAGTTTGCCGTCATGGTCAAGGGTTAAATAACTTAGCTGAACAACGTCTTACTTCACTACTCCAAAGGAACAACTTGAGCAAAGACATACTTCTCTCCCTCTCCTCTTCCCTCTCACTCTCTCTCTTCAACTCTCCACACCACTTTTATACAATTGACCTTTCACCATCCGAACGTAAACAAACTGCTCCCTCTCTCTCTCTCTTTCTCTGGCCGTGCTCACCCCTTTGCTGTCCACAATGAATGTACCTGACTAAGTGTATAGCATGGTTGACTTTCCCTTGTTGTGTCTTTCTCTCTCCCTCCCACTTCTGTCGTCGTTTTACTATGTGAGTTTTGCTTACTGTGAGATCAGTGATGATGCACTTTTATGGGAAACGGACGGACAATGAGACAACAATAAAGGTTCTTTTTCAATAACACAAGTCTGACCCTGGTGTTCAATACAGTTGTATACAGTGAATCGGTAAATCGATGAAAGCCACAAAGAACAGTTGTGACTATAATGTTTGACAGTCCAGGAATTGAGGAATAGGAGTAGTATTAAAAAAGTATTAAAAAACATAAATTAAGAAAATGATTTATATGATGAAATTAGGACTAGGAAACGCAGCAAATCTGACCATTTTATTTGGACCAATCCACTAAATAGCCAACAACAGAACAAGCAATTAGTGATTATAACTAAAACTGTTTATTTTGAGGAAATCCTAAATGCATTTTTCATGAAAATCTTGGAGGCCACTGAAGATTTCTTTCACTTAAAGCTTGACTATAAAACTTCAGCTGAACAGCAACCACTGTGGCTACAAGTGACAGTAATGCTAAATGCAGAACATTTAGCTAAAAAGCTAATCTAATGTAACAGAAGCACAAATGGATAAAAGTCATAGAGTCACCAAAATGACTCATTAATGTTAATTATACAGTAATATTTACTGAAAGTTTGCTAACATCAGCCTCTGTAAGCTACTGGTCATACCAGACCAAGTAAGGCTGGAGCAGCAAAACCACTCAATGGGCTGAATAACAGTGCTTTTTATTGCTCATAAATTCAACTTTTCATTTGTAAGAGGGAAAATGTGTAATTTCTTCTCTCAAAAGTTGAGTAGTCTCACTTTAAAAGTTGCTTTTTACACTATTAGGCTACTACTGCAACAGAAACAATTGCTGGACGTCCCATCCAGCTGTAGTGATGTAATATTTTTTTATAACATGATTTAACCTCTTACTTACTAGACTATGATGCACAAACACACTCGCACACACCCATCTCCTGCCCTACTTAATCCAGCTCTCATCTCACAGCATCTGGTGAAGCTTTAATTCCTCCCAAGTGAAGACGGCTCTGCATTGATGGGAAGCAGCCACAGAGTGGCGCCTCTGACCTTTCAATACTTCACAACGGCTTCACATGCTGGATGGTTTCAAGTTGCAAACTTGGAGGCTTGGAAACACAGAAAATGTGTTTTCTGAGCTTCATGAGTTGAATAGTTTGCTTTTTTTAGTAGGCTACAAGTAGCTGTGAGATTACTGAAAATGCTGTCACAAAGTGTTGAGTCAGAAGGTGTGATACTTTGAAGAATAATGAGATTTATTCCCTTTATTCCTTACAAAAAATCATCCCTCCCCTCTAATGCCATTAGTGCTGACTGGATTCAACAGAGATGCTGCTGTGACAGATGGTTTTAAAGGCTTCCCTTTGCAGAAGACAAAGTCATCACTTGTAGCCAGTTGTCATGGTGACCAGGTGCAAACTCCCAAGGAAAAAAAATGCCTTCAGTCCAAATCCAACCCCACATTTTACGTTAGGTCAGGTGTGTGCGGCCTTCTTGTGTGTTACAGCCATCATAATACAAGAAACTGAACCAGAATGCAACCCTTGTTTCGTAAGTCAATGAGAAATAATTTGAGTTTATAAGTCAGATGTTTCTCACATGGAAAGTGGGAAAACGACAAGCAATTTTTAACTGAACATGTAATCATCATGTTGTTTTAGGTTTATTTGTCCTCTACTGTCAGTGACGTTTTGATGAAGTAGTTTACTTTACTTCTTTAATGCATAATCAGGATACTGTTCCATGAGGTTTTTGCCTATTTCCCTTTTTCAACTTCCTCTCCCTCAGAGGAGAATCTGTCAGAATTTGGATACAGTAAGCTCTTCATAGTGAGGGTATGAATGCATTTCATTCTTAGTTGCCAAATATGTTACTTTTACTTAACACAAGTCTTACCAAAGTTCACAACCTGTTAAGCAGGCTTGAAGGTAAATAAAATACACCCAGTCGAGTCAGACAGTTGTGGGCGGATATTTCATGTCACTGTTGGTGGGGACAATAAAAGACAATAAAAGACAGGTCTTAAAAAAGGTAGGCAGCGGACCACACCACTATGAGGCATATGAGGGCAGAGGTAACTGTCTGTGTACCAAAGACTAGACACTCACTAACAACAGTGGTTACATTTAATTGTTTTGATCAAAAATTATAGGGACAATTCAGAAGTCGCAGGATATTGGTAGGGACATGCCTTTGAATTAAAAAAAAAAGTACTGTAGTTCTTTGTTTTTTTTTATAATTCCCCACTCACTCTATCTCTTCTGAAATGAGATTCAGAAGGAATATCCTATTGATTGATTTGGTATAATATTGATTAATTACTTAATTTTGATATGGCTATTTAATATAGATAGCCTGCATCATGACAGGGCATGTAGCCTATACAATATCATACTTCACATATTCATTGAATCTACACCAAAAAAAACAACTAAGGCTGGATGAAAACACATGGTCTGTTGTTCACCTTTTGGACAGGTATGATGTAGGAGGATGTGGAGTACATCAGAGTAGGCCTACTGAGTGTATTTTGCCCTTTGAAGTGATTTTAGGGGTATTTGCTAAACTCTGAAATAATGTATTAGCCCATTAGAAATTACTATTAATACAAAGATGCTGATTTGGAAACCCCTCCATCTGCTGTTGTGCTCCTCTACAGAAGAGAGAGTAAGAAAGACCTGCATCCACCTGAACCCGTTTCTGTAGCCTGTATACTTTATATTAGGACTGCATGATTATCATATTATTAAATATATCATAGCCCAATTCTTGATATTATAATTGTGATTGTAATTTTGATTTATTAAAGCTGCTTTTGTGCTAAATTTTCAGTAGGCCCGTTCTTTTATTGGATGTGGACACAAATCACCCACTGGCAGCACAGATTATTGAAATAATTTAGTTTCAAGTCCTTATTTGTTACTGACAAAGCATAAAATATCAGTGACACATATTACTGATAACAATCCCCTGGTGAGTCATAAGATGATTTATGACCTCCTGTTCGCTATGTTCATCTAAATATAGGAGATTATTCACTAAAACCCAAGAGAGAAAAGGGGACCTGATTAAATGTGAGATATCCGTAAGCTTCCCGCTTGCAACTGCATGGAGAGAGAGAGGATGGAGAAGGGGAAAGGGAGGGGGCAATTTAACACCAAGGGAAAAGTTGATTGGACAACAAAAACCACAGTGTTATGACAGTAAGGGAGAGATGGGAAGAGAGGAAGAGAGAGCAGTGTGTAGATATATAGAGTAGCCTAAAGGTTAATTGGGCAGGTGAACAGGTGAGGAACACGAGAAGTAAGCGACTGGCTGCGAGAAAATTTGATCCGCGGACAGCTTGGAAACTCAAGCATCAGTCGGCGCATCCCCTCCGGTGTATATAAGACCGAGCCAGCTGTCACATAGCACCACAAAGCCTTATCTGCTGCTGATTTGGACTTGGACGGAGAGGAAACCGAGCCAACAGCGGTGAGTCCTACAGCTTCACGGGGAGAATACAGGTGTTCGCCAGGTGTGCTTTACCTGCCTGCTCTGTGAAGCTTGGAGGGAAGCGGAGCAAGCAGTGCCAACATATCCTCTTTTATGAAGTTTTTCTTTGTTGTTGTTGAGGTTTTTGACATGCTTTGCTTTGAATTCTTTATGAGTCTACAGAAGTATTTTTTCCGAAGGGTTAAGCCATTAATGACTTGGTAAAAGATGTTCTAGGCCAATAATAGGATTTGTTTTCAGCTCACCAGAAACGCAAACCAGTGCTGTAAGCTATTCTTTTAAGATGATTAATAACGTAAAATATAAAAACACGACTGCGATGGACTGGCCACCTTTCCAGGGTGTACCCCGCCTCTCGCCCAATGTAAACCGGGATTGGCTCCAGCCCCCCCGCCACCCTGTACGCAGGATAAGCGGTTGACGATGCATGGATGGATAAAAACACTATAAAAATATGACATAGGCTAATATTTGAACTCCTCAGGCTTTAAGGGACTTTACTAAAATGATTAGGGGGGTGCAGGGGGTGCAGAAAAGTTAGGTAGGATTTCTAATTTTCGCTCAAGGGAAGAGAGTCTTTATTTATTTGTTTGGATGCTTTAACTTTTACTGATAACAGATTTATCATGTTTTCATACATTCTGGAAATGGTGCTTCAGCAGGTTCACTCATTCAGTGGCTGAAATTGGCTCTGACATTTAGTTATTCCTTTTCCAAAATGGAGTGGATGTATTTTCACTACTTATTTTATATTTAATATAAAAATATATTAATAAAACTGTGGAGGGTTTTGCTTTTTTATAAAATAAAATATAAGCTTCACCCCCCTCCCCCTTCCCAACCCAGTACCTTTTGTACAGTCCCTAAGTGCCAATCAACAAGAGTAATTGAGAGGCTGCCAAAAGAGGTTGTAAAAGGCACATCAGGCATTGATATCATAGATTAATTCTTATGAATTAATGAAACAGAATACATGAAAACACTTATGCAACAAGCAGTATAGTTTCTGAAATTTTTCAAAATTACAATGCAATATTAAATTGTTTTTCCCTGACAACTAAAATTTGCCAAATAAATCACAACTGGAGTTTTGATGGGGTCATAATCCACAAAAAATTAATCCAGCATGACACAAAAATGGACCAGGAGTAAATCACAAGGCCTGAAGTAGTTGAAGGAAGTGTGTGACTGAGAGAGAGAGACAGACAGAGAGAGAGAGAGAGAGAGAGAGAGAGAGAGAATAATTTACAGAGCTTTTCTTTGACCCTACAGGACCAACATGTCACTCACCTCCATCCTTTCAGCTGAGGCCATTGAAAATGCTGTCAAGGACTGCCAAGGTAGCATCTCCGCAGACACACACACACACACACACACACACACACACACACACACACACAAACAAGCCCCTATTCATTTAAATGCCAGCAGAATATGCTGAATACATGACTCATTTAACCATGGATTCAGTATTGTGATAATACCTTCACAGGACCAATAGCTGTATCTTTAACTAACTAAATTCACACACCTAATTATGTTCAAATTCACAATAATCCGGATTTTCAGTTGAGGCATGTGTCTACTGA